TGAGGGAAACTGCCACAGAGCAGTCACTTGTCCAGGGCAGCAGCTAGCTAGCTACTAGGCAGTCTGAGAGTCAAACCCAGATGCTTGTTCCAGAGTCTGAGGTTTAAGGAAGGGTTGCACTTTTCTGCTTTGTATCAAGTTCCCAGGAAAGCATTCACTATTATTAACCTGTCAGTAACCACTCTATAGCTCATAGTAGTGAATGACTACAAATATAAGCAAATATTAATTTCATTTGTTTTCACATCCAGTTTTTATACACTGAAAGAATTGGGAACTTTACTGGGTATCTGGTTATGGGAATACCTGTAGTATACTGAACACTTACTAGGTGCCATACTGATACTGTATCCATATCATTTCATTCATTTCCTTTATATAACCCTGTGGTGTATGGGCTGTTATAACTCTGTTTTAAAGATGAGGAGACCCAGAAAGGTTGACTGTCTTTCCAGGCTCACCCAGCCAGAGACATGAGCTTCAAACCCAACACCATGTGATTCTAGAAGCCAGGCTTGTACCTCCGGTGCTGTGTAGACTATGTGGATTTTTTTTAACCTTGAGACTTATAATCCAAAGGATTTGGTTTAGGAGTAGTGAGCCTGATGCCTGCTTTGTGTTGCCAGGGTGGTTCTGGAAGATTATCTCTGCTTTTATTAAATTAATGACTCAGGATTGCTCCCAGAAAGTTCTCTGAGCTCGCCATTACCATTAGAATGTGACATTTGGGGGGACACCTTAAAAAGCCAACAAAAATGGAATGAAACAACAGCTTTATTTTGGTGCAAAAAAAAAAAAAATTGAAATCCATGCATGCAAAGGATCTTCAGAAAGATAACAGAGGGGCCAGCACTGTGGCATAACAGGTTAAGCTGCCCCTGCAGTGCCAGTATCCCATATGTGGGCACCAATTCAAGTCCTGGCTGTTTGCAATTCTGATCCAGCTCCCTGCTAATGAGGAAGCAGTGGAGAATGGCCCGAGTCCTTGGACCCCTCTACCCACGTTGGAGACTTGGATGAAGCTCCTAGCTTCAGCCTGGCTGTGCCCTGGGCTATTGTGACCATTTAGGGAGTGAATCAGTGGGTGGAAGATGCTTCCCCCTCCCCCCGCCCCCTCCTCCTCCCCCCGCCCCTCTCCCTCTCCCTCTCCTGTATGTAACTCTGAATTTCAAATAAATAAATAAAATCTTGTTTGAAAAGATGTTGGAAATGCATGTTTTGAAAAAACTATGCATGTGTTTCAGATTTTCTGCACCAAAATCAACTTCTTTTTTAATCCCACTTTCTACAAGCATCTTGAAGTACTGCGGTAGATGCAGAATGCAGGCAGAGCTGTAATTCGGCATCCGTTCTCCCAGAAAGCACTGAGATCATTCACCCTGGCCACCGTGCAGAGCGAGGTAGAATGAACATACAGGAAGCAGACCCGTGCCCACCACCCTGAGCCCAGCAGAGAAAGGCCCAGGTCACTTTCCCATCACCGCTGAGTCAGAATCGGGCCCTCATTGAGGTCTCTGCAGTACCCTCACCAGGAGAAAGACAAGCAGACAAACAAATAAGCAGGTAGATAAATAAAGAAAGAAATCGGCCCGTGTCATAGGAGGGCCGCGCCGCTTCCCGCCGCTGTGGAATGGAGACATCGGGGACTCTCAGGTCCTGAACTGGCAATTCAGAACAGTTTGATTGCCTGCTTGATTGTTTGCGAGATAACTGCAAGATTGTCAGTGACAGGGTAATTTACTGAAGATTGCAATGTCAGACTCCATCCAAGGGGCTCGCTGGCATAAAGATGCGATTCTCATGACTGGCAGGCCACTGGGAGATTGGAGTGCCAATTTAAAGTTCACGGTGTCATCCGCAAGTGGTGGGCAGCGGCCGCCCATAATCTCGCAGCATGATGAGGTCATTACCGACAGTACGCATGCTCACGCTTAATCACGGCAGGAACCCGATGCACGACCTGGGAGCAGGCGAACGTAAATGTGGAGAAGCAAATCACTTACAGCGCCCCCCCCCCAACTTTTTTTTTCCTTTTTCTTAGCATTCGTCATCTGCCACTGCTGTTGTGTGTAGGCCATCTCCTGCCAGACAGGCCCTTGAATAAAAAGCCCAGAATCCAGAAAGCAGTGGGGAAGTTTGCGGGTCACAGTGTCGGAAGCAATCGCAAGCTCCGGCAGAGTGACAGACTGGATGGAGGACGTGGGGGAGGGGACCGTGGAGTGTTTAATAGGAAAAGTGTCTGAAGTTATTATTTGAGCCCAAAGAGGCCCTTCCAGCTGGCGATGCGGAGAGGATGGTAAATGGGTTGGAGGGGGAGGAGAAACTCTCGCGGCTCCGGGAGGGAAAGGCCACCAGAGATGGATGGCAGTCCTAATGCGAAGAGGCCGGCGACTTCAAGAAAGCTACAGCGCTAACAAGCGAGGGCTGCTTCTCACCTCGGAAGTTTGTGCGGCTGCCGAATGCAGCACTGCCAACAGGGCTCAGCGGGGTGCTTTTCCAGGCGGAAGCGGGCCTTGCATGGGGAATTCCTTCTGTGTCGCTGGGGCGAGTAGTCCCAGCGGTCTGCAAAAGAGGATGCTCGAGGATGCTCAAGGCCGCGGTGTAGGCGCTGTCCCGCCCCCTCCCCCACACCCCTCTCCCACCCCCCAGGCTTGCTTGTTCCTGTTCCACAGTGGTCCTCCCACGCAGGTCACGCATCCTGGATGTGCCTCCGTGTCCTGCCACCACCGAGACAGCATGCTGCAGCTCTGTCCCTGGAGTTTGCCAGGCTCCAGGGCCAGCCGAGGCGGCCAGCACGTCAGCCTGAGAAGTCCAGAAATCTCCAAGGTGCAGGTGCCTGCTCGCCGTCCGGGGCCTGCGTCTCTAGGAAATTCTGTAGATCTAAATGTGTTCCGAGGCACACGAGCAGGGTTTGCCCATGTGGAAAATGAGAGGCTAGTTTTAGTAATTTGAAGCCTAGCAAAACACGCACCCTCTTAATTTGTTTGTTTGCTAAAAAAAAAAAGTAATGCATTAAAATAATTGTACATTAATTGCTAAATTACAGTGGAACTTTGGTGAAATTACATATTTCAATTTCATTAGCAGAACCAAACGAAAAGGGTAATGCCAAAAATTTACACTGCAGTAAACTGGAATCACACAGCCAGGCCTCAGATGCAGCGTTCAGAGTCAAGGGTGTGTGAAGGCACAGCCCAGGATTTGAGTGCAGGGTCCTGGTGCCAGTTATGGCCCCCAAAAGGCCTTCCTACCAAGTCCAGGAGGTTGCAAGTAAGTTATTCCTTGCTGCATGTTAAATCACTTCCTAGCAGAAAGAACAAGGAATGGCCAACTAATCCATTCCAATAGGAAATTCCAAAGAGCAAGCACTGCCCTGACCATTTTTGCTTTGCCTTAAGGGATATGTGAGGAATGGGAAACAGTCATTTATTCATTCAACAAACATCTGTTCAGTGCCCAGTTCTGTGGTTGGCACTAAGCAAGGCATTAATACAGAAATGAAGAAGATACCGTCCTCCTTTCAGAGAATTCATTTTCCAGATAGGGAGGCTAGCATAAGGAGATAATTAATTCCAGTACAAGGAAGTTGGTGTTAGCAACCGCAGTTTCTAAAACTTACTGTGCATAAGAATCACTGAGAGTCCTGTTTAAAATTCAGCTTGCAGGACCTGCTCCTGGGGGCTCTTTCTGGGGGAGATCTGGACTGGGCCTTGGATTCTCCCCCACAGGATTATGATGCAAAACCATTGTCTGAGAAGCCCTGAGTCAGGGGTACGTGGAACCAGAGCACCTGGCTGTCTTGCTCAGTTCTGGCTGCGGTAACAATATGCCATTGACTGGGTAGCCTCAGTGGGAGACACTGACTTCTCACTCACAAGCTGGGAAGTCCAAGGTTGAAGCACTGGCAGGTGTGGCCATGTCTGGCAAGGGCCTGATTCCTTGTTTATAGATGACCTCCTCTGGCTGTGGCCTCCCAGGACAGAAAGAGTCCTAGAGAGCCCTCTGGGGTCCCTTTTCTAAGGGCATGGATCCCATTCACTGTTGGTCCATCCATGTGACCTAATCATCCCCCAAAAGCCCCCGTCTTCTAACACTGTCACATTGAGGGCTAGGATTTCAACTTCGAATGTAAAGAAATATGAACATGCAGGCCAAGGACATCATCAAGGAGGCTTCCAGGAGGTCTAAGAGCCACACCTACACTGAGTAGAAGGGATGAGTCCATCATGTCTTTCTCTCCCTCGTCGCGCTGTTAGCTCTTTCAGGCTAGATTCCCTGGTTCTTTGCCCACTGTTTTATTTCTAGCACACGGCCAGCACTCAAATATGTATTGGACGGTAGATGGATGAGTAGAGATTAGCCTCGGAAGAGGGATGGAGGAGCAGAAGGGCGAACCAGTCCGAATGTTCACAGTCCTGCTGCGTCCAGGAGCGGAAAACCAGAGGCGACTGGACTGATAGCTTCGTTGCCGGGCTCCCCAGCCAAAGCCGCTTCCCCACCTCTTTTAGAAAACAAACCTCACGGCGCCAGCTTTTCCCACTGGACTTAAGTTCCCTCCCTGACTTCTCTCTGGAAGCACGCTTGAAGGAATTCCACATACCCTTGACCCGGTGTTAGTACCGGCCCCTGGGAGCTGGCTACCAGTCATTTTTTATGCTCTGTTCCTTGAAAGCAAAGTGTTTTATTCCCAACTATTCAAATCATACTTGATGGTAGTAATAAAAATAATAATAGTAAAGTAGCAATTCCAGAAAAATATAGTGAAGATGGCGAAGAGAACCCCAATGATCTACCTGAGGCTAATCCTTTGGCAACATTTTCAGTTACTTCCTTTCCGTCGTTCTGTGCATAGCAATCAGAGTTTCCTTGGCTGTGCTGTGTGGAACCCACTTAGGAAGACTGGACCTGCTGCTGCTCGTGTTGGTAGCAGACGTGTTAGCGTCTGCACAGGGCTTCCTGCCACACAGTTGTCTCACCCTGCTCTGCCTCTGCCCCTCCAGATGGCCTGGTGGATTGCCTGGACCCTGACTGCTGCCTGCAGTCGGCCTGTCAGAACAGCCTGCTCTGCCGGGGGTCCCGGGACCCCTTGGACATCATCCAGCAGGGCCAGACCGACTGGCCTGCAGTGAAGTCCTTCTACGACCGCATCAAGCTCCTGGCAGGCAAGGACAGCACCCACATCATCCCTGGAGACAACCCCTTCAACAGCAGGTAGGCCCCCACCTGGCCCCAGACACCACCCATGTCACCAGTGCCCTTTCCTGTGCGAACAAGAGCAGGTGCTCTGGCTGCTCCAGGGGCCCAGCTGGCCTGCAAACTGCCTGCGGGAAGCAGCTCTCTGCTGGGGCTCCCAGAGGGTCCCTGGTCGCTTTGGATTGGGCTCCAGAAAAGAGTCCTGATCTCCCTCCAGGCTTTGGCCTCCATCAGCCCAACCTGCTGGAGATCCCTGCAGATTCCCTGCATTTATAATCATTCACATTATGACATTGTTGTCATTATTATAAAATCTCCCTTTCTAAGGCCTCTGAGAGTGACTTTTGTGGGAGCGTCACTGAAATAGTTCATTCAGGAGCGTAGTTCTGAAAGCTGTTATTAACTTGATAACATAACCTATCATCCATGGCACCTGAGAGTCGAGCTGATGCCAGTCACGAGAATTTGTTGAGCACCTAGAATGAGCTGGGGACTTCCTATGGATGATCCCTACTCCTTGCACTCCGCTGTTTGCAAAATCTACTAGTTACCCACTGTGCAAGGCCATTACGCCACTGCGTTTCACGCCTCGCCCCCTCATTCCCTCCAGTTTATGTTTGCTCTGCATCCCTAGTCTGAGGCCTATGAACATGGAGGGTCAAGTGAGGGATTCATTCTGGAGTCAACTTGACCCCGTCCCGTTGCCCCAGGACTCTGCACCTGGAGGAGAGAGGAAGGGAGAGCTTGCCTTTGCTAAATGTCCCTCCTCTCTCCTGGGCACCATTTTTGATTCTGAGAGTGGAGAAGAGGCCCACGGAAGGCAGGAGATCCTCTGAGTGGCACGGCTGTGCATGGCTGAGCAGCCCCTCAGCAGGTGCAGGTCCAGTTGCCAAGATGAATGCTGGAGTGGGCATGGGGGGCATGATCTTGTTGGGAGTGGCCCACCCCATCTCTGTGCCTCTTCGTGCAGGGAAATAAAAACTGTGCATGGGATCCTTTTTCACAGAATCTGTTAACCATTGCTTCTTGGCCTTTTGGCTGAGATCAAGTGCAGAATCTGTTAGCCAAGAACTTGAGAGGGACAACTCTTGGTCCCCTTGCCCCTCTAATAGCACCCATCATGCCATCTTCCTCCCAGTTATATATTTTTTTTTATTTTTCACCTTTCTTCTTCATTTATTTTTTCCCAAACTTGAACATTTTTTATTTTTGGTTAATACATGATAATTTTCCATACTTAGAGGGTTCAGTGTAATTTTTTCATTCGTGTACACATTGGGTCAGGATCAAATCTGAGTAAATAGGATGTCCACCACCTTAAGCGTTTGTAGTTTCTTTGTTGTAAGAACATTCAGAACTCTCTGGATTAACCAAATTAGAATAATGTGATTAAATACTGTGTACAGTAATAGCATTTATTTTAATAGAAGAAACTCAACAAAATAAAAGAAACCACAAATCTTGGACCAAAGGAAGAAGCATGACCTCTGCTTGTTCAGTCCCAGTTCTTGGAGAGTTCTTCCAGATTCTGCTTCCTTAGAATGAGGAACAAAATTCATCTTGCCAAAGAATGACCAGCCTCTGCCCTTGGCCATAGCATTTGGGTGGAGTTTGTGTACAGTTTGCTTGTAGAGCGGATGCATCCTTGGAAGGCCTTGGCCTGTTCCCATCCACTTCCTAATTAACATTGCATGATTTACACCCTCAGCCGAGTCATTTCTTTTTGATACTCTTTCTTCACTTGGCTCTTCTGGTTTCATCTTATCCTCCTCACCAGCAGTTACCACTTCCAGAAGGCAACTTAGCTACAGCCAAGTTTCAGGAGAGCAGGCACGGGCTCCAGATTACTGGGGGGAGGCATCAGCTCAAGGGATCCGAGCAAAAGAAAGCTGCTGTAGAGAAAACTTCTCTGAAGCATTGCACGTGGCAATGAGTAGCACCACGAAAATGAGCCCATGCTCTCCAGCATGTCTACGTGGCTCCATCATTCAGACATCCACGACACAGGCTAAAGTTCAGTAAGCACGCACGTGTCAGTGCATTGTCATCTGACATGGAATGAAGCCCAGAGCCAGGAGTGAAAAAGAACTTATTTCAAGACTTTTAAAAAGGCGTTCCCCCAGATAATGGCATACAAAAATAACTGAAATGCCCGGACTCCACCACTATAATTTACAGAGCAGATCTCACTATCTAGATAATGTGATAATTGTTACACATCAGTAATCATAAATAGAAATGAACTGATAGCATGTCTTAGCTGAATCTTTTCTCTGAATTGACTGCCTTGAAATGATAGGAAGCCAGCAGCAATGAAGAATTAGAAAAATAGAAGGTAGAAATCATGGGCGAAAAACACAGCCCCCGTTCTTCCTCTGGCTATCCATCTGCAAAGTCTTAAGCCACAGGACCGATGGAAAAGCAACCACAGTTGTGTAAAAATAAAAAAAGGAATGGGAAGAAACCCCGGGGGGGAACATACTCCTAATTTTGTTTTCTCATCACGGGCACTGTGTGTCATCAACACACATCATTGTGGTCATCAGCACACATCATTGATTTTAAAATAGTGTCTGGTAAGGCCTTACAGAAAGCTCAGTGTGAGCTGAGATAAGAAAATGAAATTGAACAAAAGGATTATTTTCATAAATTAGTTTTCCACTTTCAAAGAACTCTAGCATTGTGGTGGGAACCAGCTAAAAATGGGATTCATTTGTTAGGCAGCCAGTAGCAGACAATTAGAGCTGTCAGTGGAACATTCTAAGCACTCCTGAGATCATCAAAGGGTTGGAGTTGAACAGTTGGGGGTATTACTAATAGAAAGAGAAATGCTTGCAGACAGATTCCCTCCAGTTTTCAGGACGCCCAGGATTGCAAAGTAAGTGCATTCCAAAAATCCTTGACAAGATTCTGGCAAAGAATGGGTCAGTTTCATTACCTAGTCCAGAAATTGGGAGTGTGTCCAGGAACCAGGGAGCTTGAGAACTTCTCTGCCTTCATCAAATTGCCCATTGTCTTTGAGGCCGGCAATACAGCTGTAGACCTGCTGGGTTGACTCGGAGCTCAGTGCAAAACTGGAGCTTCTCATTGTTCTGTTTCCCCATGAGAACTCAGAGAGAAGGGACATGTGCATTCTCCCTCCGTGGACTTGGATGAGAACACGGAGTGCGCATCCCTAATTCGAAAATCCAGCATCTGAAGGGCTCCAGAATCAGAGCCTTTGTAAGTGACAACAGAACACTGACAAGTGGAAAATTCCACCTCACGTGAAACTTGGTCTCACACACAAAATATTGTATAAAGCACCGTCAGGCCATCTGTATAAGGTGCATACAAAACGTAAATGAATTTTGTGTTTAGACTTGAGGCTCACCCCCAAAATACTTCATTACATATATAATGTATGAGTATATATAATAAATATTATTTAACATATAAACATATATTTATAAATATAGAAATATTCTAAAAATCCAAAACACTCTGGCCCCACACATTTCAGAAAAGGGAGGCTCAGTCTGTATTGTAGCATCTCTGTAGGGTTTCCCAGGGGAGGTTCATTGGAAATTAGCATTCCTGGGAAAGTTCTAGTTACTGTGGTCCAGAGAGAGGTGAACTGTCCCTGATATCAGTACAAAGTTGGCTTGGATTTCAACCACCACCCCACGAGGAATTTAACATGAAGAAATGTGTGCTTACATGGAATCCAGAACCCAAGGTATTTCCACCAAAAAATAATTCTCCAATGTTCCCTTTTCCTCAGGCTCTCATGGATTGTGAGACATTTTGCTTTTAGAGGGTAGCAAAAAAAAAAAATGCATATGTCCCAGTCCCACAAAACTTCTGTGTGTGCCTCTCCACCTTCCCTGACCTCCACACCTCAAGGAGAGAGGGAAAGTGGCCTTTCTCCAAAGCAGAAAGAGGAAATAAGGGGTGGGATATGGAAGTTCTCTCAACTGCTGTACTCGTACCAGGCCAAGGACAGCCTGCAGCCCAAGGCCAACAAAAGTCAGACACCACCAAGAAGCAGAGCAAGGCCAAGGGAAGACAGAATGTGTAAAAGAGACCCCATTGCTGAGACGAGTGATGGGCGATGCTGCCCACTGAATTTACCCCAAGGTGTGTCCCTGGGTTTCTTCTTTGGGCAAAGCAGAGCCTTGAGACGTCCCTCCTGCTGAAAGTCTCCTCCTCATTGTGGAGACCAGTGAAAGGGTAAGCCATGATGGCAGAGAAGGGGACCACAACAGTGCCCCTTATCTCTTGGTCCTCCTCATATGTCTCAAAGACCTGTGTTTCTCTCCCTCCCTCTCCCCTTCTCTCCCTCAGCTTGGTTTCTCTCATCCGAGGTCAAGTGGTAACTACAGATGGGACTCCCCTGGTTGGTGTGAATGTGTCATTTGTCAAGTACCCAAAATATGGCTACACTATCACCCGGCAGGATGGCACGTGAGTAGCTCTGTCCGGCTGTGCCTGCTCAGGATCAGGGTTGTGTGCAGGGAGCGGAGGAGCAGTCAGCTGGGAACCATGTGGGTCCCTTTGGGGACTGGAATGCGCATCAGGCCAGACCTCTGGTGAGGATCCCACCCAGAGAATGTCCATGCTTGTTGATCAAAAACACAATCACTAGAAAGGCGCACCCACCCGGGGCAGAGGACAGGCACCACCTTCCTCTCCCCGTGTCAGGGCGCTGCTTCCTCTCTGTGTATGTGGTGCCAATGGGAGTGGATTCTGGAAAGAAGGCAAGAGAGCTTTTAGAAACTCACTCCTATTTTAAATCAAAGGCTGTGCAGGGTGACAAGAATCCACATGACATAGCATCCTGTGGTGATCCCCTTCTGCTTTCATCTGTGGCTTTAGGAGCTGTGTTGTTTTCGCTGCAGTTTTGAGGGGGTGGGCTGTAATCAGAGAAGTCTAATTAAATACATTTAGCAGTCACCCTGCTGGGTAAAGGAGGCAACCTTCCCCTATTATCTTCTGATTGGAAACATGCACGCATTCCGCCCCCACCAAGATGAAAGCCCTATCATTTCCTTCATCCATGGGGCCGACAGTAGAAAGTTACAGAACAGGATAACAGGAAAAGAAAACTATAGGAAGGCAAAAACACTCACTTTGGACTGGACAGAAAAAAAAAATCCACAAAGTCTTGCCTTCTATTCCAAGTGAGAAAGAAGGACCCCACAGCCTTGTTCTATGATAACAGACGCTGGAGAATCACAGATGCATCGTTTCAGGTGGGAGCTGCAATTCTTGACTTTCTCTGCAGAAGTCTGGCCTTATATTCTAAGGCCCTAAAGTAGCCTAACAGGCAGTTCCAAAAAAATGGCCAGGCCACAGCAGCCCTGCTCTTAGGTTGTCAAGATCCACAGCAAATCTCAGCGTTCATTAAATTTCTCCTACCTCACTCATACACTTCTGCAGCCAACTCAAATTGTTGGAAAGCACCAAGAGTGGCTGTGCACTGCACAGAGCTGCTGTGGCCTCTGCTCTTTCTTAGGAGTCAGTGTTCTTAGAGAATTCCCATCCTCCAGTCAGTTCACATTTTGAGTCCTGGGCTGCTGTCCGTCCCCTCCTCTGCTCCCTCTCCCGCTCAGCTGCTTCCTGACTAACCGTGGCCCAAATCATCCATCCCACCTCCTGGATCAGGGACTCTCTGGCTGGTTCAGGTTGCAAAGCCATGGAAGTCACAGGACACTCGAGGCAGTGCTCCCAGGAACGTGTTGTACAGTGGCAGGTGCCACCAATATTCACGCTGATGCTTTCATGCCAACTGGCAATGATTTGGCTTCAAGACATTTGACTCTCCTGTAGGCTGTGTTAAGCCATCCTGAACATTGTGCGTGCCCAATAAATAAATATATAAACAAATATATGAGCAAATAACTTGGACTGCATGCACCAGGATATTCACCTTAATATTGTGCTTCTTGTCCACTCACTTTATGTCTGTCTGAAGCTGGCTGATGTCAGCAATTTAGGATATTTTGAGTTTTTACTCTGATTGAGGTACTCTGTGAGCTGGTGGGGATTCTGAAATGAGCAAGACAGACAACGTGGCTGTCCCCAAAGAGTTGGTTTTCTAATGGAGAAGTAAAGTTTAAAATTGAGAAGCACTCCACTAACTGCCTGCCTTTTCTGTTCACTGGGGAAGAGCTACCTCTACTTCCCTGGGAGTGCCCCTCTGTCCAGCTCCTGAGGAACACCGAGGACGATAGTTTAGGAAGCACTGACAGCAGAAGCAGAGCACAGGCTGAAGAGAAGTTTCCCAACATGGTTCCTTATAACTACCCCCATGTATTGAACACGTCGCTTAGCCTAGCCCTGTGCTGAGTGTATTACATCCAGCATCAGCAAACATTTTCTGTAAAGGGCCACATGGCACATAGTTGAAGTTTTCCTGGCCAGGTGGTTCCTGCTGCACAACTCAACTCTGCCACTGTAGCAGGAAGGCAGCCATAGAGGCTGTATAAACAACTGGACATAGCTGTGTGCCAGTAAAACTTTATTGACCGCAGCAGTTGGGGGCCATAGTTTGCTGGCCCCTGCTCTGCACTCACCGAGACATCTCACTCCCTCAGCCACACTGGGGATGCCGGTATCATCATTCCCATTTTACAGATGGAGAAACTTGCTCGGAGAGGGTTCCTAGCTTGCCCATAGGCCCCTAGCTAGTCGCTGGTGCAGTCTGGGTCGAATCCCTGCCTGCTTGCCTCTTGGCTTCCGTGCTCAGCCCCTCCCACCGCCTTGCTGGTGGGGGGGTCCACCGCTCTCAGGGAACCCATTTGCCCCTCTCCAGGTTTGACCTGATTGCCAATGGCGGTGCCTCCTTGACTCTGCACTTTGAGCGAGCCCCGTTCATGAGCCAGGAGCGCACCGTGTGGCTGCCATGGAACAGTTTCTACGCCATGGACACCCTGGTGATGAAGACGGAGGAGAACTCCATCCCCAGCTGTGACCTCAGTGGCTTTGTCCGCCCCGATCCAATCATCATCTCCTCCCCGCTGTCCACCTTCTTCAGTGCTGCCCCTGCACAGAATCCCATCGTGCCCGAGACCCAGGTAAGCAGGGCCGTTACCAGACAGACCGACCACTCAGCACTTCCCTAAGCCACGCTGACGGGCCGACTTCCCCCATCACATCTGTCTTCCTCGTAGGACCAGAAACTAACATAAGGGAGAGGAGCAAAACATAGGTGCTCAGTGGGATTTATGACCGTGAAGATGAAACTTTGGATCCCTCCAGGACATTCTGGATGTTTCCAGATAGTCATCCAAGATGCTGGCAGTCACCGGAGCCTTTAATAAAATAAAAACAATATACATATGTGCAACCCACCTGCAAATTGCTTTTTATTCCTGTTAGTCACCGAGATACATGATAAGAGGCGCTTTAATGACCTACATCGGCGGTACGACAGAGGGCATATTATATTATTGCCTCCCTGTTGCTTTATACCAATTGTCAGTGGAAGTTGCAGGTTCGTATAATTACAGCCTCTCGTGGCCTCCTTGCATGCAGCTAGCAATAAAGCCTGCTGTTCTTATTTACATCTTTTGCCAACAGTGTGGTTTTGAAAAAGAAACGCAACAGTGACCAAGAATAATTATTAATCCAAAAATCATAACCTCAGCCCCCTTCGCTCCATGGCGTAGGGTAGTTTTGGTTGTTTGTTTTTGTCTATGTCAGCAGGGGGAAGTGGTTCTCGCACCCACATGCGGGGTAGACACTGCAGTGAGGGAGGCCGCGTCGGGTTGCACACAGCTCACCGGCAGGGCACATGCGATGGCATGTGTCTCCCATGGGTTCCCCTCCAGGTTCTTCATGAAGAAATTGAGCTCCCTGGCTCCAACGTCAAGCTGCGCTATCTGAGCTCCAGAACTGCAGGGTACAAGTCACTGCTGAAGATCACCATGACCCAGTCCACGGTGCCCTTGAACCTCATCCGAGTTCACCTGATGGTTGCTGTAGAAGGACATCTCTTCCAGAAGTCATTCCAGGCTTCTCCCAACCTGGCCTACACCTTCATCTGGGACAAGACAGACGCCTATGGCCAAAGGGTGTATGGGCTCTCAGATGCTGTTGGTATGTTCTGGTTTGTACCACTTGTTGTTCCATGGAGTTAGTCCTGTGTTCATTCACCTGATCGCCATCGAGTTTTTGGTCTAAGTCAAGTACTCTTCTGGTAGATTGGCTAATGAGACAGGCAAGGTTCCTTTACTGGGCCTCTTACACGTCAGTGGACAATAAAACAGATTGGGCAAAGAAATATTCTGCAGTGGTAAATACTGATAAGAAAATAAAAATCAGTGACGCATTCTGGGGGAAAGGGCAATTGTGGATGGGTATTCAGGGAGGGTTTCTCAGTGGGGTGATTTGTTTTAAAAAAAGTTTTATTTATTTATTTGAAAGTCAGAGTTCCACAGAGAGAAAAAGAGAGGCAGAGACAGAGAGAGAGGTCTTCCATCCACTGGTTCACTCCCCAGCTGGCCGCGACGGCCAGAGCTGTGCCGATCCAAAGCCAGGAGCTGGGAGCTTTTTCCGGGTCTCCCACGCAGGTGCAGGGGCCCAAAACTTGAGCCATCTTTTACTGCTTTCCCAAGCTATAGCAGAGAACTGTATTGGAAGTGGAACAGCCCAGACTCGAATCGGCACCCATATGGGATGCGGCACTGCAGGTGGTGTCTTTACTCGCTGTGCCACAGCGCCAGCCCTGGGGTGACATTTTTAAGTGCCACCTTGAATGACAAGAAGGAGACATGTGAAAATCAGAAAAAGAACATCCCAGGCATGGAGAAGAGGGAGAGATATTCGAGAGACAGACAGAAGGTTAATATGGCTGGAGTCTCACAAAAAAGGAGGATTTTCAAGATGAAGGCAGAGAGGCAGCCAGGAGCTGGTTCATGCTCCAGAGAGAGCACTTGCCAGGTGCACAGGTTGCACCTCCAGAATCAGACGGTGGGCCCAGGGGAGCCTGTAACCACATGTCATGTTTCAAGACTTTGCCTTTGAGGAAAAGGCATAATCTCCCCCTTGTGAAAGATCATAAGAGAAAGATCAGGACAGACATTTGGCGAAGCAGTTAAGATGCCACTTGGGACATCCGTGTTCCATATCAGAGTGCCTGGGTTTGATCCAGACTCTGCGTCTGATCCAGCTGCTGACTGCTGTGCACCCTGGGAGGGGAGGCAGCAGGTGATGGGGCCCTGCCATCCACATGAGAGACCCAGATTGTGTTCCTGGCTCTCGGCTTCAGCCTGACCCAACCCTGGCTGCTGTGGGCTTTTGGGGAATGAATCAGCAGATGGAAGATTGTCATTGTCCATTTCTCTATGTCTGTCTCACTGAATCTCTTTGCCTTTCAAATTTAAAATAAATGTTTTTAAATGTTTAAAGGGAGAGAGGAAGATTCTATGGCTGGAGTTTTTAGCTGTGAGTTAATAGCAACCTACCTGGTATCTTCCTACTTGTGGAATGCTGTCTGGGGATTCATTAAAATCCAGAATCCTTCAATTTTGATACGAGTCTGCTTGTGGTTTTGGAGAGCTGTGAATAAATATATGTTACCAAAATAAGAAACCAGCAGACACAGCAATGTTCTGTGTAACTGGCAGCAGTGTTTATCAGACGCTCTCTTTGCAAAGAGAGCATCTTGCCAGGGCAGCCCCCTAATCCCCCTGTGCACATGGGGCAGGAGGGAGAGGGAGACAGTTGACAGAGACCCTGCCACCAGGAGGTCCATAGAAGGCCCCGTGTTGACAGTGAGTGGAGCTAATAGCTTAATCAAGGTAGTAACACATTATTGGAGTGTTTAGTGCATTCACTATAAAACGCTAATACGAAAATATTTTATTTAGTTTTAGCCAGTATCTAAATGACAACCCATATCAAAAAGTAGACTGAATATTACAATACATCCCCATGCTGTGTGGCTTCTACCTTTATAATCAATTTGTGAAAGACCCACTCCTTTCCTCCTGTATTTTTTGAAAGACGTCTCAACCCTCATATTGTTTCATCTTTAATATTCCAGAATGCATCTCTAAAAAATACTTCAGAAGCATAGCAACAGAATCATTAACACCACAAAAAAAAAAAAACAGTCTCTTAATCACCACATAGACTTGTCCTTGTTTGATATTTCCATTGTCTCCTGAATATCATAAAATATTAATGATTTGAGGGGCCACCGTTGTAACATAGCAGGTAAAGCCCCACCTGTAACTCCAACATCCAATTTGGGTACCAGTTCATGTCCCAGCTGCTCCACTTCCAATCTGGCTTCCTGCTAATGGCCTGGGGAAAGCAGTGGAAGATGGCTCAAGTGCTTGGGCCTCTGACACACACATAGGTGATCCCAGTGAAGCTACTGGTTTCTGGCTTCAGCCTGGCACAGACTGGCAGTTATGGCCATCTGGGGAGTGAGCAAGTGGATGGAAGATCTCTCTCTCTCTCTCTCTCTCTCTGTTGCTCCCTCTCTCACTGTAATTCTACTCTCAAATAAATCTTTAAATATATATGTGTGTGTGTATGTGTATATATATATATATATATATATATATATTAGTGCTTTGAATTAAGATCCAAACAAGATCCACAATTGGTTGGTTTCTATAGCATTTTTTCCAGTTTTTCTTTTTTTACTTGGGTTACGTTATAGAATCTTTGACCAAAATATAATACTTGTACAATTTTATGAGACTCCCTGCAATATTTCAATACCTACACAACATAAACCACACAAACTAGCCTTTCCATGTCCTTTTTTCTTTCTGTAATCTTTTTTCTTTAATTTCTATTTATTTATTTGAGAAACACAGAGAGAAAGAGCATTTCCATCCACTGTTTTACTCCCCAAATGCCCAAAAGAGCCTGGCTGGACTAGGCCAAAGCCAGGAGCCAGGAACTCAATCCAGGTCTCCAACATGGGGACAGGATCCCAGTTACCTGCTGACTCCCAGGGTGCATACCAGCAGAAAGCTGGCAGCAGGAGCCGGAGCCAGGATCAGCCACTCTGATAATGGTCTGCAGGTGCCTCAGTTGGCAACTACACCACTAGGCCGAATGCCCACCCTTTTTTCTATATTCTTAGTGTGTGCTCCATCTCTCTCTCTTTCCCACCCCTCTTTCTCTCCCATTTTTTGACTTTGACACTTTATCTATTGAAGGAACAGGACTTTTTGCCTATAGAATTATTCTCCTAAATCTGTATATATGAAATACATGAAATTTGTTCACCTTTTGATAAATTTTTAAATATTGTTATAAAAAATTCTCGATAGTGTGTTTTCTTTTTTCTGTTTTGTTTTCTGATTACATCCTTGTTGCTATTTAACATAATCCTCCATCCCTGTTACCTCCTATAATTGACAATTGCATCTTGAGGCATTATTGTGTGCTGTTTTGATTTATGTTTTGGGCAGGACAAGTCAGAGTGTATTGTGTTCTTCCAAAAGGAGGCACCTGATGCCAGGCTTGGCATCTTTTAGTGATTCCAACAGCCATAAAGGATTATTGCCTAGTTTTCTGACATTATTAGAGGTTGCATAATGACACATTATTCCTGTCATTGCTGCTTCGTCTATTAACTGGAATATGTTTATACAGAGATACTTTAAGTACTTGATTAATTGAGGTATAGTTCAAATAAGAAAGGATAAATGCTCATTTCTCTTTATTTACTACATTTTCAATATAATGACTTGGTCTATCCTCCATTGGTGGCAAATTTAATATTTTTTTCTCCAGCGGGAACTTATCTTTTTATTATTAAAGCAGACTTTACAATGCATTTGGGGGAAATATCACATTTTTTGAGATTTATTTATGTATTTGAAAAGGAGAAGGGGAGGGAGATCTTCCATCCGCTGGTTCACTCCCCAAATAGCTGCAAAGGCTGTGGCTGGGCCAGGCTGAAGCCAGGAGCCTGACCCATGTCCATCCTGGTCTCCCACATGGGTGGCAGGGGCCCAAGTACTTGGGCCATCTTCCACTGCCTTCACAGGCACATTAGCAGGGAGCTGGATGAGAAGCAGAGCAGCTGGGACTCAAAGTAACACTCCAGTATGGCATGTCAGTATTGCAGGTGACAGTTTAGCTCACTGCCCTACAGTGCCTGCCCCATACTTTTATTTTATTGATGAAAAAAGAAAGTGTGTGTGTGTGTGTATGTATGTGTGTGTGTGTGTGTGTGTATCAGGTATCATCTATTTTTTAAATATCATACGAACTCATGGATTCAGATATGTCTAGTCTGTTTCTATCCATTGAAGTTAATATCCTTACTAATAGCCAAATGACCCCATCTTTGGTCCATAAGAACCTCTTCAAATGAACTCTCAAATCCGTTTGACTTGACCCTCGTAGATTCTGATTCTTTCTTTGCTATCCAGTATGACAAAATGGCCCGGCCTTGTCTTGTTCATTTCTTGCTCAAGCCATTTCTTCAAGGAACCCTTATTCCTTTTCATGAGAAATAATATATTAAGGCCACGAGCTGGGCACAAGTAATTCTCTCTGCTCCTGGGTTGGTCATCATTTCTTGGTATTTTCAGAGGACAAGCTAGGAAATATGTGGGGTTTTCTTTTTAAGATAAAATGCAGCCTCCATTCATATCGACACTTCTATATTTCAGTATTTTTAAAAAGCTGCAGAGAATCCCCAAAGGTGACACACATAGTTAAGAGTTTAATGTAGTAGGAACAGCAATAATAACAATTTCTTGTGTTGCTACAGCAGCGATCCAATTAAAAATGTATGCGGCTCAGCATCCCGCCTCCTCCAGCCTCACCACATCTCTCTGAGAGACTGAGGCTTTCCTTACCCTGTTTTACGTGTGGGGAAAGGGAACCCAAAGACAGGGTGAGCAAGTGAGACAGAGGAGACTGCCTCGTCTCCCATCTGTGCACTTGGCAGATGCAGAGTTTTCACAAGGAGATTGACTCTACAGATAACTCACTACCTAGCCTCTCTTTGTGCTTGGCTCTCCTGGCGCTCTCTGTAATCTTGAGTGAACACACACTGTCCCTCAGTGTCCATAGAGGTTTGGTTCCAACACTCCTCCCCACGGATACCAAAATCCTCAGGTGCTCAAGTCCCTTATATAAAATGGCAAAGTATTTGCACAGAACTACACACATCCTCCCACATACTTTGAACCATCTCTAGGTGGCTTCTCATACTTAATACAATGGAGATGCTGTGGAAGTCATTGTGACAGTCTTGTCTGGGGAACAATGACTAGGAAAAATGTCCATATATGTTCAGTACGGTGTGGTCTTTTTGTCGAATATTCTCTGTGGTTGCTGGACCCCACAGGTGCAGAGCGCTAAGTGTCCAAAGTACCTTCCCAGGCACAAGCTGTTGCTCCCAGAATCTCCTTGTCAGGGAACTGCCAAACTTCCAAAGAGCTTTCTCCTAGGGAGTGAAAATGAACAACAAACTAGAATCAATTCATGCCACGGACAGCAGGCTGCAACAGTGTCCTATCCATCCCTCAATGAGACGCAGACAGTGTTAAGTTTTTAAAGGATCCTTTTCCCTCTGTGTCACCAGTGTCATTTTAGAAAGCTGCTTGGTCATTGGGAAGGTCTTTCCCTCCCCCAGCAGAGCATGACTGTGCAGTTTTTCAAGGCTGAGTTCAGCTCAAAATCTGAATTTCAGATTGTGGAATCATAAGCAGAAAAGCAATCAGCCCGCCTCTTGGAGTGAGTTTTTGGCACAGAATCTGTATTGCTGGGAACGTGTGTCTCTCTTCTTGCTGGAGCACTCTGGAGTAATCAAGTCAACTGTCTTCGTTCTCCCACCCTGTCCCACCCCCTTGTGTCCGCCAGTGTCTGTCGGGTTTGAGTACGAGACTTGCCCCAGCCTCATCCTGTGGGAGAAAAGAACAGCCCTTCTTCAAGGATTTGAGCTGGACCCTTCCAACCTCGGTGGCTGGTCCCTGGACAGACACCACATCCTCAATGTCAAAAGTGGTACGTGAGCCCCTCCCTCTTCCCAAACACAGCCTTGCCTCTTCTCTGGAACCTTCTCTCCTTCCTTGGCACCCGAGTGGCAGTCATTTCTCAACAAGTGCCTGAAATATTGAAGACTCATGGGCTGGTTTGTCCGGAGGATCGACCCTATCATCCCTCGCAGTTCTTGAGTTACCCGTCACGTGGGATCTTTCCCAGTACCATGGCTTGAGCTCTGTGGGGCTTGGCCTCCCCTTGCAGCTGTCTCAGCAGACACAGAAATCAGTTTGAGGTTTTCTAATTTTTCTCCTTTCTCTGTCACTCCCCTCACCATCACATTCATTGGCCAATACAAGTGTCCTCCACAGAGGGCTGTGGTAACCACTCCCTTTTACACTTCCTCCCAGGAATCCTACACAAAGGCACTGGGGAAAACCAGTTTCTGACCCAGCAGCCCGCCATTATCACCAGCATCATGGGCAACGGCCGCCGCCGAAGCATCTCCTGTCCCAGCTGCAATGGCCTTGCTGAAGGCAACAAGCTGCTGGCCCCAGTGGCTCTGGCTGTCGGAGTCGACGGGAGCCTCTTTGTCGGTGACTTCAATTACATCCGGCGCATCTTTCCCTCTCGAAATGTGACCAGCATCTTGGAGTTACGGTAAATAACCACACAGGGAACCTTATGTGCACTCTTGCACCCAACTGCTGCTGAGCTTCCCTGGGTAAATGATGGCCACCATTGGGTTTCTCCAGGGAATATGTAAGCCCCTGTCAGCCCAACCTAGGTGCAGAATCAAGGATTTGGGGAAATGCTTTGTGTGTCTGGAAATCACCGTACACACACTTGATGCTATCATCAACAACCGGTTTCCAAAGAGAGGTACTAGAAAAGACCTCACAAATTGTTATATCGAAAAGCTCTGTAGAAGGTGCTGATGCACATCAAAGTTTGAGAACCACTGATGTGCACTGATTAATTTACAGGTTTGTATTGAGCCCTCTCTGTGCTAGCTCTCTATCAGTTCTCTGGGTCTTTGCATGTTCACTAGCATACGACTTAACATCACTGCATACACCTTGCTAGGTCATTTCTGGCCACCCCTTGTAGATTCCTCCTGGCCATTGCTGAAGTATGAAGTCGACTCCTCTGTGCTGGGAAAATATTGACCAGTCAAATCTCTTGGAAATCTTCAACCCAGAGGAAGATCTATAAATAGAGAAAAAAGTTTCCAAATAAGCAGGAAATTTTCATTCAACCAATATTTGGTGAATGTTAGTTCATGCCATGGGCTGTCTGGCTAGGGAAAAAATAAGTAGGTGTTCAACAAGAGCCCCAGGAGTTATGATAGGGAGCTTCAAACTAAATCATCTGGACAAATTTTTTTTTAAAAAAACATACTTTCAAGTAACATTAAATGCTTCAAGGAATATCTAACAAGGTCAAAAACAGGTGCAATGGGGCAAGAGAACAAGGATAAAGAGGGACTGCATAAGCTAAAGTAGTCACGGAAACCTTGCCTGCTAGGTAACACTTGAGCTAGGCCCCAAATGACTAGGTTGGCCATGAGAACACTTGGGGGAAAGCATTCCAGGCAGAGACACATTCAGACAAAGCCCTCATACCAACTCACCACCTGGCTCATGGAAAGGAGTGGCAGAAGTCTAGTATGACTGGTGAGCTCAGGGAGAGTTCTCCGAGGAAGCCAGAGGGGTTGGGAGAGGCCCAACGCTCAAGAATCTTGCCGACCATGTACCTAAGTGTTGATTGTGTTCTTATTGCAACGGGCAGCCATTGGAGGTGAAGGATGAAGTTGATGAGATCTGGTTTGCAGAGGCAGGAAACCCCACAGGGAGGCTGCAGTTCTTGTCCAGGATTTGGGTGACAGTGACTTGGACTAGCATGGCTGTAGAAGACCTAGAGAGGAACCCTGATTGGGATGTATTTTCAAGGTAACTCTGACAGAATTTGCTGATGGATTAGGCACAGGGATAGGAGATGGGGAAGAAGAGAGAGGACAGGGAGGGAGGGAGGGAGAGAAGCAGGGAGGGGGGAGGGCAGGAGGGAGGAGAGAAGGGAGGGAGGGAGGGAGGGAGGGAAGAAGGAAGGATGGACATGAAGGAGGGTTCTGTCTAGGACTTTGACCTAAGCAGCTGAGTGGATAGTGGTACTTTCTGAAGCAGCCTCGACTACCACGTGAAAGGCTTAAAGGAAGCTACAGGTTGCACTTGTACTTTCGTATCTTTGAGGCCCCTTCTGGGAGTGAAAGTGCTAAGCTGACCACCAGCAACTGTGGCTGAGTGTCTCTGGGAGCCGAGACTGTGCCGGGCACTTGGGAGAAGTCAAAAGACAGCAGAAAACAGCCACACCTTCCTGAGCAGTTGCAGCCTCCGGGACCCAGGGGGCTTTGACAGAGCATGAGGGTGAGCCAGACCTGTGCTGGGCTCTCAGGTAACGAAGGGGGTGAGACAGTCTCAAAGGTGACTCGTGCAAGGGCGAGAGACCCTGAGTTAAAGAGGAGGAGAGCGCTCTCAATCTGTCAGGCCAACAGTGAAATTAACCACTTCTCCTAGGCTTCCCCATGCAGGTCCCCACCCCAAGATGATCTGTCCTTTGTTTTTAATCCTAGGGAAACCACCCTCTCTCAGGCTTCCTGTGGGCAATGGAGAGTCACACAGTCGAGGAAAGGGGCGGGTAGCACTGCTCTCCCTGGCTTACCAGATGAAAGGATGGGATCATTGAATCTGGCACTTGCAGTCACCCACATCTGGCTCTTCTTCCTTTGCCATGGTTCTCCCTACTCAAAGCCAAAAAGGCACATTCCCAACTTGACATGGGCCGCTCACTCTACTTAAAATACCCTCTCTACCTAGCCTACTTGCTCATGCCCACTTGTAAGGCCCAGGTTGAGGGTCCCCCTTCCATAAAGTCTGATCTCCCCCACAGAAAGATTCTTCCCCTCCCTTCAATAGTTTAACTCTGTGGTTTGCTGTTTGACGTGACAGGGCCTTCGGCCTTGTTCCTTTATTCCTGTGTCAGTCTCTAGGGCCCAAGTTTAGGGCTGGCACCTTGGTCATCTTTGGCTCTGGATGCCTGAGCAGTGCCCAGTCCATTCTCCATGCTCAGAATATGTTGCTTGAGTTAGATGGCCCATTGACCAATCTCTTCCTCTTGGTGGAAGGTCATGGATTTCATGTTTCTCAAGTGCCCACAGCCACAACATTAGTGGTATAAGCTCTCAGCCCAATCGGAGCAAGACACCCCACACGCATATGGTGGCATGGAAGACTGCTGGAGGGAACATGTCTCCCAGTTCCCCTCGACAGCTCTATGTGATTTTTCTTTTTCTTTTTTTTTGCTTTTTAGCTACCTTTAGACTTGTTCTTGCTTTCATCAGGCAAGTACCCAGAGCCGATTAGAAGTTAAGCTTTTAAAAGAACACTGGTTTGATTCTTCTTTTCTTCCCACTACATACCTGAAAACAAAGGGCTGTCAATCCCCTCTCTTCAAAACAGCAACCAGCAAAGGGAGGGAGGAGAGAGGCAGAGACCTGTCTTGCTTATGTCTTTTCTGCATTGTGAGTTGGCAGCTGAATGATTCAATTTTGGGAGTCAGTGCCCATCCCGAGCTTGTGTACCCACCCCAGAGCTGAGCCTCAAAATTGGAATTCTATTTAAATGTTCCTCTGGTTCTCTCACCGTCTTCTCCCTTCCTCCTTCCTTGGCCTGTCCTCTATGTGGAGGGGCAGAGTCCTCATGCTTCAAGAAGCCTCTCTCTTAGGTAGAATGGTTTTCACCTTTATGTTCTCATTAGACCAACATTTAGGACATTTTCAACACCTGCTTCCCCAAAAAGCTTAGTATCCCACCTTTCATAGCCATTGCCCTTAGAGGAATCTCTGACTGCTAGCTTCAGGGACCTGGGTCCATCCATGGTCAAGCATCATGTGAGATTTAATCGGGACACAGGTGTGGTGATTGTTCTGGATTGCTGGTTTTGTCGTATTTTCTCTCTCGAGCCCCACCTTCCTAGCCTGACCGCTGGGGAGAGCATCTGCATTCTCGACTAAGCCCTCTAGAACAGAGCACATTTGTCAGTCACTGACATCTTAGGGTCAAGGCCTCTCTTGGAAAAATCCTTCCTCTCTCCCCATTGAGAGACTATCTTAGGAACTGGATGCCGATGTGAGGCAATAAATGATGACAGACTTAATTTTTAAATTCAAAATTATTTTTTCTAAACATAAAACTATATTACGGGCTGGCGCCGCGGCTCACTAGGCTAATCCTCCACCTTGCGGCACCGGCACACTGGGTTGTAGTCCCGGTTGGGGTGCCGGATTCTGTCCCGGTTGCCCCTCTTCCAGGTCAACTCTCTTCTGTGGCCCGGGAGTACAGTGGAGGATGGCCCAAGTGCTTGGGCCCTGCACCCCATGGGAGACCAGGAGAAGCACCTGGCTCCTGCCATCGGATCAGCGCGGTGTGCCGGCCGCAGTGCGCTGGCCGCGGCGGCCATTGGAGGGTGAACCAACGGCAAAGGAAGACCTTTCTCTCTCTCTTTCTCTCTCTCATTGTCCACTCTGCCTGTCAAAAAAAAAAAAAAAACTATATTACGATATTAAAGATTTTTTCCAACTGGAAGCTTCCGCTGCCACTTTTCCAGACTGCCATTCAGATGGTGCTTTTTGGGTGGGTCACAGGCATCGTTCTTTCAGGGAAGACCTTGAGATAATGCAATCATTCAAGCCGTGAGTGTTAGTGGGATGGTGAGAACCTAAGAGGAGGGCTCAGAGTGATAGAAATTAGAAGTAACCAATAGCAGGACTGGCTTTTCCTGAATGTCTCTGTAGATCAGAGCCCTCGTGGCAAGGCACAGAGTTAGGAAGGACTCTGAGGTTGCAGGTCAAGAATGCAGATGCTTTCCCTGGAGGTCAGGCTAGGAAGGTGGGGCTCGAGAGAGAAAATACGACAAAACCAGCAATCCAGAAAAATCACCACAACTGTGTCCCGATTAAATCTCACATGATGCTTGACCATGGATGGACCCAGGTTCCTGAAGCTAGCAGTCAGAGATTCCTCTAAGAAGGAAAAACAAAATTGTAGAATGCAAAATGAGAAATGAAACTGGCTATTAATTAGGATGAGAAAAGACATAAAAACAAATGGCAAATTTTTGAAAAGCCAACAGCTAATGCCAACGTCACAAAATCCCGATGAATAACCTAACATGTTTGATTGACTAACTCCTATTATGTGACCATGATGCTTGCTTTCCTACAGTCTTTGGCTACACATGCTTTGATTGTCTTTCCACATGGTCATTATTTTGTCATCTCATTATCTACAGAAAAAAATAGAGAGCCATTCAATATTTCTTCCAGTATGGCTCATCAAAATTTCTTTCAGATTATTGCTAAATTACAAAACTTCCATGTTCACACTTGATTGTTGGGGATGTGTTGTAAGATAAGAGTTACCAAATTTGAGAAAACTTCAATCAAATTTCCTTTGTCATGTTTCTGGGCATTTCAGATTCTTGTACCTTAAGTAATCTGAAGATTTTTTGAATTTATGCTCAGTAGCTAGTTTGTCACTGATGTCCTCGGAATAGTGAATTCCACTTTAAGCATCACTCCCAGCAATGATGCTTGTGGGGAGCAACTCAGACTAGACTAAGTTACTGGAATTAAGACTTATTCTATGCATCTGCTCTCCCACAATATGGCACTGAGAAGGGAGAAACAGCTTCTACACAGCTGCCTCCAGTTCAACCAATAAACAGCAGGACCTGCTCCTGATTGGAGGAGAGCAGCGTACTCGGCGTGTGGGTAGCAGAGTTGGGATTGGTGGAAGAGGACTATAAAGGAGGAGAGAGACAACATGCACCAGGAACATCTATCCGAATAACACCTGTGCAGCCCCCGAGAGAGCCGGCCGGAGGTGTGCCGCTCCCCCGCGGAAGTGGGGAAAGTGGCTAGGGGGAACCGCCCTTCCACGGAGGTGGAAGGGTCGGTAGCCAACCCAGGGAGGGCCGAGCAGACAAAAGAACAACGCAGGGTCCTGTGTCGTTCCTCCATGAAGAGGGGGAGCGACATAATGGTGCCGTGACTCGGATAGGAAACCTAGGAGGGACTCGGATAGGAAACCTAGGAGGGAAGAAGTGGGAAGAAGTGGGAAAATACTGGAGAGAGAGACTAGCGAAGAGCCTAGGGAAAGCCGGACGGAAAAGGTGCCGGAAGAAGCTATTGAAAGCCTAGGCGGCCGGCGCCGCGGCTCACTAGGCTAATCCTCTGCCTAGCGGCGCCGGCACACCAGGTTCTAGTCCCGGTTGGGGCGCCGGATTCTGTCCCGGTTGCCCCTCTTCCAGGCCAGCCCTCTGCTGTGGCCAGGGAGTGCAGTGGAGGATGGCCCAAGTGCTTGGGCCCTGCACCCCATGGGAGACCAGGAGAAGCACCTGGCTCCTGGCTCCTGCCATCGGATCAGCGCGGTGCGCCGGCCACAGCGCGCTGGCCGCGGCGGCCATTGGAGGGTGAACCAACGGCAAAGGAAGACCTTTCTCTCTGTCTCTCTCTCTCACTGTCCACTCTGCCTGTAAAAAAAAAAAAAAAAAAAAAAAAAAAAAAAAAAAAAAAAAAAAGCCTAGGCATAGACTTGGATATGGACTGTGGGAAAGAAGTTAGGAGAAATCTCTAAGATTGAAAGCGAAAGTGAAAGCTAGAACAAACAGACTCGGACACAGACTGTGGGGAGAAGCCAGGAGAAATGAGAGGGGAATATTGTTGGAAGAAAAGTTAGGGAAACATACCGGGTAGAGAAAAATATGTTGGGGAGGATGAAGCCGCGGGGTCAGGCTGAGGCGGAGACGAAAGCTACCTTGGGATTCGTCGAGTCAGCCCGGGGAATAAGGGGCAAAAAGTTAAAACCAGAAGCGGAAACGTAAGCCAGGTTGGAATCCGTCAGATTAGCCCAGGGAGCAAAAGACGGGAAGCCAAACCGTAAGGCGGAAACGTAAGCTATAGGTTGAATTCGCCAGGTTAGCCCGGGGAACTTAGATTGAATACCGGTGGCGGAAACGTAAGCTACGCTGTGTGATTCGCGGAAGCTGCCGCGCGCAGAGAGAGCGCGCGGGGCACTAACGGGGAGAGCGCCCGGGGCGCTAATAGAACGCGGGGCTGGCGCGAAGGCCGTGGTGCGGGCGCAAAGGGCGCGGAGACTGCGGAGCTTGCGCGGAGCCGGGAAGCCGCGCAGATGCGAGAAGCACGGGCTGAAGCAGCGTAGAGCCGGGAAGCCGCTGCGAGGCGCCGAGAAGCAGCCTCGGGGCGGGCGCCGGGATGCCGCAGGGATGAGAGAAACAGAAGTTTAGAAGTAAAATGAGAGAAATAGGAATACTGGCAGATAGAAGTAAAATAGGAGAAATAGGAATGCCCGGAGATAGAGAAATAGAGAAAAATAAGGCCTCCCCACAACACGGCAATGAGAGAGCTTGGATTCGGTCTGTCTGATTGGTAAGACGATAAGCATCTGTGGGCAGCTGCAGGTCACCAAAGACAGGCACGTTATCAACACCAATAAGTCTCCCCACAATACGGCAATGAGAAGGCTTGGATTCGGTTTGCCTGATTGGTAGGGCCTGTAAGCACCTGCAGGCAGTTCTAGCAGAGCAGAGCATGCGCTGCAGGGCACCGAACACAGGCACGCATCAGCGCCTAAAAACCTCCTCACAACATGGCGAAGAGAGGACCCGGATTCGGTTTGCCTGGTTGGTAGGCTTGCAAGCACCTGTGGGCAACTCTAGCAAGCACAGCAGAGTGTGTGCCGCGGGGCACCGAAGACAGGCGTGTATCAACGCCAAAAATAAAAAGAAAGGGGGATCTGTGGGGAGCAACTCTGACTAGACTAAGTTACTGGAATTAAGACTTATTCTATGCATCTGCTCTCCCACAATATGGCGCTGAGAAGGGAGAAACAGCTTCTACACAGCTGCCTCCAGTTCAACCAATAAACAGCAGGACCTGCTCCTGATTGGAGGAGGGCAGCGTACTCGGCTTGTGGGTAGCAGAGTTGGGATTGGTGGAAGAGGACTATAAAGGAGGAGAGAGACAACATGCACCAGGAACATCTAAGGGGAACATCTATCTGAAGGAACACCTGTGCAGCCCCCGAGAGAGCCGGCCGGCGGTGTGCCGCTCCCCCGCGGAAGTGGGGAATGTGGCAGGGGGAACTGCCCTTCCACGGAGGTGGAAGGGTCGGTAGCCAACCCAGGGAGGGCCGAGCAGACAAAAGAACAACGCAGGGTCCTGTGTCGTTCCTCCATGAAGAGGGGGAGCGACAATGCTAAATCAGCACAGTAGGACAGCAGCATTCCTGAAAGCTATTTCTATACCAGAGTGACAAGCAGTTATTTAACTAGATGCTGAGGGCACTATAAGCCACATGAGCATGACCCCAGAAACCAAACTAAATGTGCCCCCAACTCAATCCCACTTCGGTCAGAATGAATACAATACTCGGGCCACTCCAACTCCACCTACTCAAGGGAGAAATGGACAGAGGGCATTGGAATGGTCAAAGACATGAGTCCCAGATGATGGTAGCTTTGTCATCCTGGGAAGGACCCGAGGTTCGGGAGTTCATCCACGACAGGGTGTGCCCAGCACTAAGGGAAGCAACCTCATTCTTTGCTTCCTTCCCTCAAGAACCCATGTTCCCAGTCTCTGCTCTCTCCTGTGCTCTCAACTAAGTGTCTGCAAGTCATATCCTGTTCACAGAGATGTGAGCCAGAAAAGTACACAACCATAAATCACAGGACAACATGAGGCCAGCGCTGGGAGACAGGCTGAGATGGCTGGGAGAGACCCCTGAGGCTCCAAAGAGGAGTCATTGAGACTCTGTGGTGTGAAGAGCTAATCTATCTCAATTCTTAAGGCTGAGACACCACATTTTCCTCAAAGGGTACACCTGAAGGGTCTGTGTTTCTGAGGCCATGCACATGAAGCCTATAAGTAGGGCATCTGTGCTCATCTGCATAGACTGACTCAGTGGTGCTATTATTTTGGTTTGTTTCCTGCTAAGCACTAGCCTGCTAATGATCCTGGACTGGAATAGCAGTGACATCAGCCCTTCTCCGAAAACCCTGTCTTTATGACCATTCAGACTCTACACTCTCCTATGGCTTGATCCCCCACTCCTGCCCTTCTTCCCCCCAGCATAGATACTATATTAATCAACTTAAAGCAGGCGTTCTTAGGAAAAAAGTAGGTCAGGTCTGTAGACCCAAATCCCATCCAGTCTTTTCACAAAATCTTGACTAAAAAAAAAAGTGGAATTGATATTGCAATAATTAAGAGCCAAATATGTCTACCACTGGTGGCAGATAACATTTCACTTTCATTAAGCAATATAAAATAGACGCGAGAATTCCCGGCTGCCACCCTGACACACCAGGCTCTGCAGAATGAATCTTAAATTGCACTATGTCAGTCAGAGCTCAGGAGTTATCAGCATCATTTAATTAACTTTTTTTTGCAAAAACTAACATGTTGGAATAAAATATAAAAATGTAATCCCTGTGCAAACCCAACACTAATGATGGCCCCCGGCAGAGGCCTGCACTACACCTAAACAGGAATCAGGGCACTAAACTCTCTTTGTCCCTTTTCTGAAGCCTCCCCCTCCATGAGAAGTGACAGAAGGGTCAGGGGCTCCTTCTTAGCCTAGAAGCCTCAGCAAAGGGGAGCACTTCTCCCTACTTCCAGCCCCTCAGTAATGTTGACTTTTAGCCACTTTTGTATTACAATTGAAATGTCTTTTTGTTGTTAAAAGAAAAATCATCCCAACTAGTTCTCCAAAAAGGAATCCCCATTCCTTTTTGGAATTCTTTTTTTGAACAAGAGGATGTTATGGTTGTAAATTTCATTAAGGTTTATTGTTGTAGTATTGAGTGTTACCTGTGAGGAAAACAATGCATGATTGGGGTCCCACGTGTGCCAGTGAGGTAGGGATGAGGAAGGTTTTGTGGAGCTGGGATAGGAAATGGTTCAAACTCCCAGGGTTCAACAGGACCATTATGAAACTGCAAGTGAGCATGGGCAGGGACTCTCTGTGTGCTGTTACTGACTCTACCATGTAATAACTGGTGTCATACAGGTGGGGGAGGTGTCATAGTGCCTCCCACACCCAAGGCAGACATGGCAAACGCGTCACGGTGCTCTCTACAGCTAAGCTGGAATCTGGCTTCAGAATTTTCCTACCACTACCCTTCCAGGAACCATTGCAAGGCCATAGGTGTTGGCATTCAAGATGTCCCCTGGTCACCACCCCTTCATTAGCCAGCAGTCCTGTTTCACCTGTTGCCACCTGTGTCATGTGTCAGCCACGTTGTGATCAGAGAATCCGAGCATTCTTGTCCAGATTTTCCAATGGCCAGGAGGAGTCCAAAATCAAGGGTACCTCCCAAGTAATTGAGCCAAGAGCTCTCAGAAGGAAAAAACAGAAAAAGTCTGCCTTTTCTGGGCCCCTTTATACGAGAAACGGAAATGTTATGTTTGCTTTATCATCAATTCTTCAGCTAACTGTTTGTTCTTTTTTCCTTCTGTTTTCTTTCTATAAAGAAATAAAGAGTTTAAACATAGGTAAGATGAAGAACTCTTTCCCATATAATTTGATATAGTTCGTTTGCTTCCTTGTGTTTGTTTCTTTGTTTTGTGCTTCTTGTGTAATGTTGTATATTTTTATGTACCAAATATAGTAACTTTTTTATGTGCTAATTGTGTGTTGTGGATATGATAAGCTTTAGCAATTATGAAATGCAGTCAAAAAGCAACCAAATAAGCTGACAGTAATTAGAATTTCCAGGAGATGCAAGTGCAAGATAATGAACCCACGATGAACTTTTATCCCAACTGCTCAGTGTGGTCCATAATTGGGCTAAACAGTTGAGGCAAACTTCTGGCTTTTGTAAATGCTGGACTGGGTTCACAAAAGCTTTAATGAACTGGAAACGGGTCAAAAACTCATTTTCAACTCATTAATGATTTTTTTCCCCTGGATGTATGGTCATTTAAACAAAAAAAAAGCAAGTTAATTGCCAATCTGCTGGTCAGAATGAATCCAGCAGTCAGATGCATAGAGAATTTTCATGGAGTTAAATCACTTTTTAGTGGTATAAAGGTTGTAGACCAAGTATTTTTTGTCTAAATGGCCTTTGTCATTCCATTGATCCAAGACTGTCATTTCAAACCATGCTGGTACAATACCCATATAAAGTGTCCAACACATACGTGTGCCTACACATATCCACCATACAGAAACAGCTGCAGCGTGAGTGATCCCAAGAAAAAATGACCTTATTCGTATTGGAAAATGAGAAGAAAACAAACAGTTTCTGCCACTCCTTGAAGGAATTCTCCTCACTCCATTCCATGGAACATGGGAGGGCTTTCTTTATGGTGTTCAGTCAAAATTAGGTGAAGATTAAAATCCTTATGAGATCACCACCCTCCGTGGAAAGGCCACACTTGGGCAGAGGCCTCTTCCTCTGCCCTTTTGTTCTTGTATATCCCAAAATTGCCTCATTGTAGGCACCCCATTAGAACAACAACAACAACAACAACAAAAGCACAAGTGCCCTGGAAGGACAGCATCCCTCCAAGGAGCTCACTGCCCACTTTGGTGCTGCCACAGCCACAGTTGTGGAAGCAGAGCTCTCCGTCTGCCCTGAGCCTTCCGTAAGGTTCTTGGTTGGAGCAGGTATGATGTCATGGGGGAAAATGGTCTCTCCCAGTAAGAGCTGACCTCACACACTCAACTGGCCGCTTTTCTGCCAGAGATTTTGAAAAGCCTCCTTGAATGGGGCTCCCTAGAAAGTCCAGAATTAATTATCCTGCCCATAGATAGGCACAGATGTGAGATGCCTTGCTCCTTCTGTTGATCATGCCAGCCACTGTTCATTGAGTAAGAGTGCAGCATCTAATTAAAAAATTGCATGATTTTTTCCCTTTCTGCTGTAATTTGTTTTGCATTTATGGATATTGTCTAATGACTTAATAGCCAGTAAAGAAAAAAATTAAGACAAAGGGGAAAAAATGAAAGAATGGAGCCAAGGTATCCTACTCTTTCCAACTAGTTATGTAGGCTGAAATTCTAGAAAAGACCTTGATTTCTGGTTCAGTTCTATCTCTAAACAGCAAGCTGAGCAGAAGCTGGAATTAAAGATGGTCTTAACTCACAAAGTGTTCCTAAAAATAACCTCTAGCTCTTGTTTCCCTTAAATCAGGGAAGAACCCAAATAGTAGTGCTTTAATTAGTGATTTACCAACTAATGTCTATAGGACAAATGCATCCAACACTATCATCAGCCTCACCTTCCCATCACCTCTCTCACTCCCTCTCTTCCCATCCTTCCAACTTACAGTGGAAAAAATAGCAAGGGGTGGGGGAAGCCTGTGCTTGTGACGCTAAAACCTATTCTACCACCCTGAAACAGGAGGCAGTCACCACCTGCCTCCGGGAGGCAGTGAATTCACTTTAACAGGAGTCTCCCCTGTAACAGGAGCATGCACACCATTCTGCTTCCAGCCTCCAATGAGGACATACCACAAAGGGAAGAACTGGAGGGATTTGAGCCAGAAGGAACATTACTGATAACGCAATCTGGTTTTTTTTTTTCCACTTCCCAAATAAGAAAGCAGAGATCCAATGTAGCTAGAGATGTACCTTAGGCCATAGGCTGGGTCAGAGTTGAGTTTAGAGTTTGAGTCAGTGCTCAAAGTCTTATCCTGCCCTATATAGTCCCACAGAGGAGAGCTGTATGCATGGGATATTCCAGGTCCCTGAGTTTTACGCCTTCCTAGTGTGTTTGACACACACAACGGTATTCATCGCTACTGTGGCTTAGGGTCCTGGCAGGTCTTAGCTCACTCCTATGACCTCACTGTTAGCCAAGGCTTAAAACCTGCATCTCCTTCCTCAGTAATTCCTATTCCTTAGGTGATACCAGCAAGATATCCACCTGTCTTCACAGTAAATGCCAGATTTATTCATATCTGCACTAAAGAACAGTAGTTAGATCTAAGGCTAAGGAACGGGGCTGGCTCTGGGGAGCTTCCCATGACAAAGTTAGGCGAATTCCACATTGCCCCGATATTAATGATCTGGCATCTTGGAGGCATTGAGTAGAAAGAGAACATTGTCAAATGGGCATGTTCCTTGTCCCGCTTGAGAATATACTAAGCCCATTGGGAGGAATAAAGGATGCTGACACACACAGGCTGTAAGTACTGAGCAACTGTCCTGCTCATGGAACTGGAAGCAGGGTGGGGCTTTCTGTACCAGCTAAATGAATCCACGGTCTTTTAGCATGATGAGAAACAATGAATTCCATGATAGCATCAGGCACTTAAGTCCAATTAGAAGCAGCTAAGAGCCATGATATGTTGGAACATTAAGTTGTGATGTTAGTGTCTTTCCAGTTCGCTAAAGTGGAAAGACACTAGAGAAGGTAAGAGTCTTGCTAGGATTTTTGTCATCGCGTTGATCCAGCAGGCCAGCTGCATAGCCCGCTCCTCATTTCTCTCTGTGCTTCCTCTACTCAAGCAACAACCCAGCGCATAAGTACTACTTGGCTGTGGACCCCGTGTCTGGCTCGCTCTACGTCTCTGACACCAACAGTCGCCGCATCTACCGTGTCAAGTCTCTGAGTGGAGCCAAAGACTTGGCTGGGAATTCGGAAGTCGTGGCAGGGACCGGCGAGCAGTGTCTGCCCTTCGATGAAGCCCGTTGCGGGGACGGAGGGAAGGCCGTGGACGCGACCCTGATGAGCCCGCGAGGTAAAAAGTCCACAAAGAAGGAGACCCCCCCCCCCCAAGCCCAGACTGGGCTTGCCACAGACTTGACTTTCTTTATCCCAGCCCTGAGCGAAGCCCAACAACTGCAGGAACAGCTTTTCCTCCCATAAGTTAACTCTGAGAGATTGCTGTCGTGTGTGGGTGATGTAAAAGGGAAAATGATTTATGTAAAGTAAACTTTATCACCCACGTACACTGCACATGCAAAGAGGAGCTGGCTTGTGCCTGGCAATCTCTGGCTGCTGCCAGCAGTGAGAGCCAGAAAAAGTGTGCACCCCTTGGCCTCGAGTGCTAGCAGGACAGGCTGGATGCTGAACAGGGTGGCCTCCAGCCACCCGTCGGCTTTCACGTCAGACAGCAATGTACAGGAAGCCTAAAGCATGGTGCCTGGCATGCCATGACTACCTAACAGAACAGTGCGCTGAAGGGTTAAGGGTTAAGGGTTAAAGGATGGGGGGAGTCCTTGAAACTGATGGCTCTCTACTTGAAAGATCCTTATGGTTAAGGAGCAATCCTTTGAGGGTCTCATTTCTGTTAGCATTTTTAGCTGGTGTAAAAGCAGCCAGAAGCATGGATTAAGGGCACAAAGCCTTGTACTTGGGCAGTGACATGAAAAGGCAGAAGAGATAGAAGCCACTGTCTATGGCTTCCCAGCCCTTGCTGAGACAGGGGAAAGCTGGGGGCCGGAGTTCCCCTGGGGCCCTGAAGTGCTGATTGGAGTCAAGGCTTAATTGGGAGTGCTTTCTGGAGAATATATATTCAACTGGGAGTTGGTGGCTGCAAGAGTTATTGTTCTCAGCCTCGCTGTTGCAATCAGTGGTGAAGGGTGTTCAAGTAATTTACTCCCGACAATTTTTAGAGCAATGAACTTTGGAAATAACTTCTTTTCTATAGAGAGCGGGTGCATGGTTATTTTCTCATTCATTGTTTGCACCCTTGGTTCATTTGTAGTCCAAGGTACTTTCTTCAGCTGGAAGGCAGTGGGCGGAGATACAGCCAGCACCCCAGGAATTATGCAAATCTCAGTGCAGTGCCCAGGCGAAAGGGTCTTGCCTTGCTAGGCTGAGAACCATTGCTCTGAGGGTGATAATCCATGCCAAGAAGCAACCTGGGCTGAGCAGAGAATGTCCATTTCCACCTCCACCCCACAAACCCCACTCCTTGCCGAGTGACATGTTATCCTGCTTCTCTTGCTCAGGGATCGCAGTCGACAAGAATGGACTCATGTACTTCGTCGATGCCACTATGATCCGGAAGGTTGACCAGAACGGAATCATCTCCACCCTGCTGGGCTCCAACGACCTCACCGCTGTCCGGCCACTGAGCTGTGACTCTAGCATGGACGTAGCCCAGGTAGGACTCGCTTTCCTTTCCCATCACTGAGCAACACCTGGTTCTTGGCCTGAAGTTCTCACCTGCTTCGAAGCTTGGATTGGAAATGGCAGGGCAGGGGAGATCCAGATCCAGATCACAAGCTTGTTTGGCGAATGCCTGAGATGAACCACACAGTGAGATGGAATGGAACCTGTCAGATAGGGATAGGGGTGGGGAGGAGAGGGAAGTACTTCTCAGAAAAGTAGAGCTGGTGACACACTCCAGCCGTGGCAGATTACAGGGTAGGAGTTGCTGTGTAATTACCTCTCTTCTCCATCATTATTGCAGATTTGAGAACGCACCGTACAGTGTTATATGTCAATCAGAACTTCCCTGTTAATCTGAAATGATTGCATCCTCACTACATAAACCTTTGCTGTGTGTCGTAGTAACTGGAGCAGAGTGCGCCCCAGTCTTCCGCCACAGTGTGTGTTTAGTCAAAGCTCTCGCAGAGGCTTGCTCAGATGTGCAGCATTTGTTCTCAAACAACCTAGACTATACATCCGCGCTTCTCTTCAGCCCTTGGTCAACCTCATAAATTTCCGCTCAAATTCCACAACAAACTGACAACTTGCTATGCAGGGTTTTTTTTTTTTTCCATTTTCTCAGAGGAGGACTGTGTTTGATTTGGTTCATTTTTTCAAGCAAATGCTGGAGTTGGCAGTTTTTCTGGCTCACCCGTGCTTTGGCTGCCCTTGAGCCACAGCTGCCTTCCAAGCCACATGGCTCCTTTTCGTGAACTAGGTAAAGGTGCCTCCTCAGGCGCATGCTTACTGAGCAGATTATGGGCTGGTCTTCACTGGCCCCTTGAGCAGTGAACTAGCTGTGCAAACATACACATATGATGGCTCTGTCCCTGGTGCCGTCATCATGAACTGGTGGCTTGCTGCAGCTAGGACAAATGATGCAGTAGGAAATGTTTGTTATGTGGTCTCTTCCCCATCGTGCACACATAGCATAGGCAGCGGGCAGCTGGTTGGATGGTGAGCATTTCTAGTACAGTATTTTCATAAAAAGCGAAACCTTTGTTTCCAAGTAACCAATATATGGGCCCTACAGTTACATGTTGGCTGTATAAGAGGCTGTCCTTTAACCTGATGCCATGTCATACACAGGTTCGCCTGGAATGGCCGACAGACCTTGCTGTCAACCCCATGGATAACTCCTTGTATGTTCTAGAGAACAATGTCATCCTACGCATCACTGAGAACCACCAAGTCAGCATCATTGCAGGACGCCCCATGCACTGCCAGGTGCCTGGCATTGACTACTCGCTCAGCAAACTAGCCATTCACTCTGCTCTGGAGTCAGCCAGTGCTATTGCCATTTCTCACACTGGGGTCCTGTATATCACTGAGACGGATGAGAAGAAGATTAACCGCCTGCGCCAGGTAACAACCAATGGGGAGATCTGCCTTTTAGCTGGGGCAGCCTCAGACTGCGACTGCAAAAACGATGTCAATTGCAACTGCTACTCAGGAGACGATGCCTACGCCACTGACGCCATCTTGAATTCCCCATCATCCTTAGCTGTAGCTCCCGACGGCACCATCTACATCGCAGACCTCGGCAATATTCGGATCAGGGCAGTCAGCAAGAACAAGCCCGTTCTTAATGCCTTCAACCAATACGAGGCTGCGTCCCCCGGAGAGCAGGAGTTGTATGTCTTCAATGCTGATGGCATCCACCAGTACACTGTGAGCCTGGTGACAGGGGAGTACTTATACAATTTCACGTATAGTGCTGACAACGATGTCACTGAGCTGATTGACAATAATGGAAACTCTCTGAAGATCCGTCGGGACAGCAGTGGCATGCCCCGCCACCTGCTCATGCCCGACAACCAGATCATCACCCTCACCGTTGGCACCAATGGGGGCCTCAAAGTTGTGTCCACACAAAACCTGGAACTTGGCCTCATGACCTATGATGGGAACACTGGGCTCCTAGCCACCAAGAGTGATGAAACAGGATGGACTACTTTCTATGAGTAAGTAGATTTGTAAAGTATCTCTGAAGGGCACTTACCCTGCCGTGGCTGATGTCAGGATTGGCTGGCCGTGTAGGCTTCAGAATTGCTTAGTCACATTGTCTGCCTGACTGGAATGATTTCTTGGGGTCTCGAGATAGTCATGTCCGCTCACCCTGACTCTTAAATGATTCGCTCTATTGAGTCTCTGATATTGAACATGTCCCTGTAGCACTGGGAACTCCAGTTGTCTGCTTGCTGTTCAGATTTCAGGATATTGGACAGGCACAGCACCTGGGAGATAAACCCTTGATTAAGTTTGCTGATTATTCATGTTTGCCATGGGTGCGGAAATTAGAACCTAAAAGGCAAGATCCCAGTGGGGCTCATGTAATTTGCCAATAGGTCCAGCAACACACTTGATTGTACGGACAGGTAGATAAACTCTGAATTTCCTCTTTAGCAGAAGCAGATCAATACAGATAAAGTGGTAAGTATATTAAAAGATACGAGAGCTGGTCATATTTCCCTTAACAATTATCTCACACTTACCTCTCCTACCATTTGTTTTGCCCAAAAGTGGTTTTCCCTAGCTCCTGCAGGCAGCTCTTGGTCAAACTGCCTGCCGTTGCAGTTATTAACTAATGGGGTGCTGGTTGGAGGGAGCTGATCATTCCCTCCAGTACTGGTTGGGACTGGAATGGAATTGATGGGTCTGACTCCTTGGTGGTGAAGAATCACACTAACCTTTATGTAGTTGTATCCTTGCTTGCTTTATGTCTAGCTGAGGATTTAGTTAAGGAAGCGCTGTCACAGAGAGAGAACAGAAGACATTGTTGATCACTCCTACATCCAGGAATGCTCACCTCCCCTTTCTGTTCCAATGGGTTGGGAGAATGTAAAGGGGAGCTATTGCCATCTGCTGGAGATTTGCAGCATTGCCACCCTGCTTTCCCGGACTTGGACTTGGCTTCTTTGAGCAAAGCAGCCTTTCTGAGGCTTCTGAAGTATTCTGACATCCTTCAAGACCTGGACTTGGTCAGACCTCTGGGGCCAATGGCTCTGCCCTTGAGAGCACCATCTGAGCACCATCCTTAGCTCTCACTCCAGCTAGGTTAAAGCTAAGCTTTAACCCAAACACCTGTTATTTCACCTTCCCTCTGGCAGTCTCACCTAAAGACCCTGTGCATTTAGAGATAATTTGTTAGAGCTCCTGAGTGGGGCAGAGGAGTGGATTACAGCCTTGGGGAGGCCAGCCTGCATTAGGCCTGGCTTGTAGACTGCAGACTTAGATCTTACTCCTCCGTTCACCTCGTCTCCTGTGTTTAGTTTCAGTAGGGATCAGTCAGTGTCTACACTCAGAGGCAAAAGTTTCCTTCCTGAGTACCACAGCCCTTCCCTTCCACTAGCTTAGGAGCAGTTAGGTTAGGAAGAGAGGTTTTGTGCATGTGTTTTCAGCCTTTATTCTAAAGCCACTACAGAGTCATTATCTTTCTTTGAATGGAGCAATGGCTTAGCACTGTATTGAGAGGAGAAAGTCTAGACAGAGAGCGTGAAATGGAATAGTTTTCTTACTCTAGGTTTAATGTGCTGCTTTTCCTCACCTTGTGGATAAATCCCAGTAATGACAGAGTCTCCACTGTGAATTCCAATGGCTGTGGTTTCCCTGTGCTTCTTAGGAGCACAGTGTGTGCAGGGGCAGCAGATGGGCAACTTGAACGTCTCAGACCCCAGCTCGGCTCCCTGTCAGGGCTGTGGAGCCGAGAGGCCCGCTGCATTGCTTCAGCCAGGACAGTAGAGAAAGGAGCTGGCGGTGTCATTAATAAAACCCAAGGCCATGCGGCTAAGAGCACTGCCTGTACCACAAGCTTCCAACAGGAGACTTCTCTCCACCGCAGGGGATCGGCCAAGTAGCAATACTTTCTCTCTGCAGAGAACTTTGTAGGTAGGGAAGCTGGTCATCTGCTGACTCTCTCCACATGGATTTTGTTATCCCCACTTTACAGATCAAGAAACTGAGGCCCACCAAAGGAAACACAGGGAATCAGTAGTAAAACCCAAGCCAAATGTAGATCTGCCAGTCCCCTGTTCTTCACATTACACGCAGCAGTAAATAGAATCTAGAACCCCACTTTCAGATTCCGTAGGGGAGCTGTGCCTGGCTTTTGACGTAACCCAACAGGGCTAACCTGTCTATAGCTCTGGGAGCAGAAGAAGGGAATGGGGGGAGATGTTCCTAAGGAATCATTCTGGCCCCATTTTGTGGTCAGCCAGGTTCAGACAATTCCAGGAAACTGCACCCTTGGAATTGAGATTTTCCCAGAGATAGACCTTTGGATTCCAATAGAAGCAGCCTGGCCTAGCTACATCCCTGGGGTAACAGGTTGCCACAGCCTCTGTAAAAGACAGGGTGTGCGACATAGCAGAATGTCCCAGGATCCCAGGATGATAGGAGGGAGGTTGCCAGCCCAAGTGTTCGACCTTGATCGAGGTACTTGACCTCTCCGAGCCTCAGGGTCCACACCCATGAAGGAGGAGTGACAATGCAAACTGCATAGGGCGGCCACCATAATTCACTGAGCCAGTACATTCTCAGATATCAGGGAAGCACTTGGCGAAGTTCAACAAAGAACAGATGCCAGTAGGAATTGAGCGGAATGATTAAGCACACCTCGGTCGGCATCCCACCCCTCGGGTGCCAACAGCTAACAGGAGTCAGGCAGGCAGGGACTTACTCTAGAAAAACAAGATTGAAGAACGCAGTTGGCACATGCAGTCTCCTCGCTGACCTCTGTTTGCACTGGTCCTTTTTTCTCCTCACTCCCAGTTCCTCTGGCTCTTCACCTCGTCCAAGACAGAGCCTGCCTTGGCCCTGGGGGTCCAGGAAGGCATCCCCAGGACAGAGAAAGGCTAAAGAGCTCTCCATCCACGTTCAGCTCCTCCTCCCAAGCCAGCAAGTGTGGAAGGCCTGAGTGTGAGCACAGATGAAGGGGCACAACTCTGCTTCCGCTGCAGTGGGCTCCAAGAATCAGCAGGGGTTCTGGTTCCTGGAGGCAGGGACAGGCTCCTCTAACACTTTCCTTCTTCTCTTCTCCTCCTGCTCCTCTTTGCACTGGGGAGTGGCTTTTGGAGAGCTGGGCAGGAATGGAGCAGATGTGGGAATGCCCTTTGGAAGTCAAACAGTATTTGCTAAAGTCGCAGCCAGGGCAGCCTGTAACCCTGCAAGGCAGGGGACTGTCCTTCACATCACAGCCACCCCCGCACACCCTCTCTCTCTCTGCTTTCTGCCCCTCTGTTCTGGCCCTCAGGCAGCTCACTCTCTGCTTTCAGGCATGGCTCATTTTTGCCTTCTCCATGGAGCGTGAGTGCCATTTTGTTCCCAACCCAGCTCTCCCAGTGCTTTAAAAGGTGCCCAGCACATCATAAATACTTGAATATTTGGCCGGCGCCGTGGCTCAATAGGCTAATCCTCCACCTTGCGGCACCGGCACACCGGGTTCTAGTCCCGGTCGGGGCGCCAGATTCTGTCCCGGTTGCCCCTCTTCCAGGCCAGCTCTTTGCTGTGGCCAGGGAGTGCAGTGGAGGATGGCCCAAGTGCTTGGGCCCTGCACCCACATGGAGACCAGGAGAAGCACCTGGCTCCTGCCTTCGGATCAGTGCGGTGCACTGGCCGCAGCGTGCTGGCCGCAGTGGCCATTGGAGGGTGAACTAACGGCAAAAGAAAGACCTTTCTCTCTGTCTCTCTCTCTCACTGTCCACTCTGCCTGTCAAAAAAAAAAATACTTGAATATTTATTGACCAAATGAGTCAAAGGCAGCCTCCAGCCTACACTGGCCAAGGCCCAGCTGCTTCCATTGCGTTGGGGTTGAGATCCCACTGTTAGGTGCATAGCTCTTTGCTCCTACGTACAGAATTATTCACCCGGGGGCCTACACCTAAAGATACTCTGGGGGAAGTAAGTAGATCTGTAGGCAGTTGAGTCTTCTTGAAAGCGATTTTTTGACTCTGTGGTCTCCTGGACTCTTGTCCCTACTCCAGGGCTGTCTTCCCCGAAAGCAGAAACTCTGGTTCCTACTGCTTCTCTCCTAAGACAGCACAGCAGCCTGTGCATTGCCAGTGTCCTGGAGCTGTAGTGGAGCAGAATTCAAATCCCAGCCCCGGGAACTCCTCAGGTGATCCCCACTTGGCAGCAGGAACACGGGGCCCTGTCATTTCCACTCCATACCCAGACTCTGGAATTGCTCTCTTATGTTTAAATGTCTTTTGTTTTTGCTGGTTAAAAAAAATGAAAGTAAGGCGTATTGATGACAGATAATTCCTAAAATATGGTAACATCCAAAGAAGAAAACAAAGAGTAGTCAAAATCCCACACAGAAAAAATATCACTACCACTCTACTGTGTATTTTCAGAGTTTCTTCTGCATGTTCTTACCTCTCCCATGAAAAAAAAAAAAAAAATGTGCTTCCAGTGGAGTGTGTTTCATACTCTGGCAGAACTTGACTGCTCTTTCCACTTCTCCCCAAAAGCAGCATTTCTGAGATCACTGCACGTCTTGAGCAGTGATCAGAGTCCACGCAGCCAGGCCACAGTGACCTTGAGTCAAAGCATGGAGGAGGCCTTTGGCCAAAGCCTACTGTCCCAGTGTATCTGAGGTGCCAAATGGGATGAGGTTGTACCCTTGCCCTTGTAGAGGGCTCAGGGCATGATGGTTTCAAATGACAGGTTTCTCTTAGATTGGGCGACTGGTGGGAAAGAGTGTGTTTGTTCCGAAGTTCCATGACGAAGCTGCTGTTTTGAGAAGATTAACTTGGTGCCTTTGTGGAACACAGGAAGAACAAGAGGCACTCAGAGCAGCTGCTTAGTCACATTTGGGAAAGCACAGTTAAACAGACCCTGCCGGAGACCAGGCAAAGTGTTTTTGCTGAGTTAAGAGTCAGTGATAGCCGTGGGCGATAGAAAGCAGCATCTCACTTGCATTTCTCAGGGCAGATTGGATTCTGAGACAAGGGGCCTCAGTGTGATGCCCTATCCAGCAGCCCCACCCTCCAAGCACTCTTTCTCTGGCCTCCAGTTCAGTCCCTTGTGTGGTTCTGATGGTTACAGCAGCCTTCAGCCCTCAGGACCGTGTTTCTTTCCTCCAGCTATGACCATGAGGGCCGCCTCACCAACGTGACCCGCCCCACGGGGGTGGTGACCAGTCTGCACCGGGAAATGGAGAAATCCATCACCATTGACATTGAGAACTCCAACCGCGATGATGATGTCACGGTCATTACCAACCTGTCTTCGGTGGAGGCCTCCTACACAGTGGTACAAGGTAGGCCCCTACCCTCCGCTCCCCTACCCCTGGACTCACCCCTCTCAGACCTGAACGCAGCCAAGCCCCAGGACGTGAGTTACCCAGCCTTTTATTCAAATGTCCATAGCAAACAAACAGTACAAGAGGGCCATCTTGCAGAAACTGATTTAATCAGAAGCAGGTGAATGTCATGTGCACCCAACCAGATGGCTAGACATTTGTAAATGTCTACAAATCCGAAAATGTCCATTTCAACCCCCACCAACTCTCTTCCATGCTCTGCCTTTCCATCACTACTACTGCCACCAACCCACCATGCAGAGTTATCTTCTCAAAGGCCAGTAGTCTCCTGAGCCCATCACAAGATTTTGGTTTTTGTTGTTTCATTCTTTTCTCTTTCAGGCATTTCTTTGTTGAGTTGGTTGCCCTGGGATAAGCAATCTGTAGCAGTCTCTTGCCAAGACTGGAATCTCAAAGATTTCTAACCACCCCATGGTCATTGTGTTGTCAGACAAGCCATACAGTCCCAGACAATCACAGGGGCTGGCAAGCAAAGGAATTGTGTAGATTAATTTTTCTTTTAATTAAGATATAATGTCGGTGGGCTAGCCAGTTGTCAGGGGATAAAAGTGTCCTCTCAGTAGATAAATGGTGACATTTCTGGACTATTATCCAGCGACAGAGCCTATTTCAATGCCTCTATTTCTGCTCTGCCAAGTGATTAATGATATAGATTCTGTCCTTCTGCATGACGGCTGGTGGCACAGGAGTGGCAGGTACACCTTTGCTCGCTACCCCAAAGGCTGATGCCTCGGAGGCCAGCACAGCCCGTCGGGAAGCAACACATCTGGGAAAGGAGTCTCTGGCTCGCATTTCCTTCCTGTAACTTTCTGATAAAGGAAAAGGTCATAAGTCTGATTGACTAGTGTAGATTCCACTCGGGAAGATAAACACACGTTATCGGCACTCACTGGCTCCATCCTGCTCTCGCTGTTTGGGTCTCCTGAGTGGAGATGGCATCGTGGTGGAGTCAGCAGCAGCAGGAGGGAAGGGAAGGGGCCTTTTATCTCTTGATGTTCTGGAGGAATCCAGGGCTTGCTTTGCCCTGGATCTGACCTCCGGTTAGACCAGCAATCTGGGGCTAGAGAGTAGGCAAAGGGGGTGGGGGGAACTCAAGTTGTTTTCCTTTCGTGTATTTTTTTTCTGTATAAGCTAAAATATATATGTTAAAGTTCAGGAATTTGATTGACACAAATTGTGTAGGCAATAGACATCTTTAAATGTTTAAATGTGCTATTAATAGTCCTGAGTGCGTAAAAGAAAAATATCATGGCATAATTATTTCTGGAGTGCCACATCCTAATAATGTTTTTCTTCCCATGGATCAGTAGCATCTCTGCTACTTACCTTCACGTTGTGTGTGTGCTAATTGAAGGCAGCCCTAGACTGACAGCTGCACAGTACCATGGAAACCTGTAAAAATAGGGGTTCTATCCTCTCCCGACTAATAGCATGAATAATTTGTATCCCCACCCCCCCCACCCCTACTTACATTTTTCCAGATCAAGTGCGGAACAGCTACCAGCTTTGTAACAATGGTACCCTGAGGGTGATGTACGCGAATGGCATGGGTGTCAGCTTCCACAGCGAACCCCACGTCCTAGCAGGCACCATCACCCCCACCATCGGGCGCTGCAACATCTCCCTCCCCATGGAGAACGGCTTGAACTCCATTGAGTGGCGCTTACGAAAGGAACAGATCAAAGGCAAAGTCACCATCTTCGGCAGGAAGCTCCGGGTAAGTGGCTCCCCCCAGCTTGTTAGCACAGAAGGGGAGGAGGCGCCCCCTGTCCTCCCAGAGCTGCACGCAGCTCCTCTTGGCCAAGCTCTGCTGTCCCTTTCTGCTCTGGAAAAGACAAGCCCTCCCCTCAGACAGTGGAAGCCATGTCCCTTGGGATTCCTGTCCTGGGGAAAACAGTCTCCACTTCCCGGGGCTCGGGAAGGCAGTCGTGTAGCTGTGGGGGTTTCCCACACACGGCGCCTGGAGACGACTTTGCTCTTCCTTCCACGCGTGCCATCCTCCCCCCCAGTTCTCACTGGATGGCCAATTCAACAAAGGAGTGAGGTCCAGTGCCTAGCCTGGGCCTGGTAATTTGCTGAACACCAGAACAAAAAAACATTAGAAATATAGTCACTAAACCCAAGGAGTTGACAGTGTGGGCAAACAGGCAGCTACAGGAGACGCACAGAGGAGGTGAAAAGACAGCTGGGTATCTCAGGGGAGAAGGGATACCAGAGGAGGAGCCCTGAGCCCGAGGAGGTGAAGGGAGAATTCCCAAGAGGAAAACCAACCAAGCCACACCAAGAAGTAGTGACCAGCACGAGCCACCCACATTCTGCAACCTGCCCCAAGCTGCGTCTTCTAAACACTAACATAGCATTTATTGAGGACGTTTGTGTTGCAAACTCATGTTCAGTGCTTTACCTGTGTGATCTTATTTGAACCTTTTCAACAATCCTGTGGGGTTGCCATTATGACCTCCATTTTTCACGGAAGGAAACAAAGGCTCAGGGAAGCTAAATAATCTGTCCGAGGACACAATGGCTAGAAAGTAGCCAAGCCAGGACTCAACCCTAGTCCTATCTCTCTGGCTCATTGAGAACTGCCACGCCACACAACTTACTGTTCAGCTCCCCTGTCATCCAGGTCATCCTGGTTCTGCTCACGAATCTGTCACCATGAAGGATCATTTCCTGCCATCATGCTTACCCTTTCCAGGGGTGCCAAATCCTGGGGAGCCCAAATACAGCACATAGTTATAGGATGCCTACGAAGAACCAGGCGCTCTACTCTGCACTTAAGATACACTAGGCCACTTCAAAAAGTTCATGGAAAATGAAATTAGAAGACAAGTTTAGGTACAAAATTGTTTGAGGTCCATGCACAGTGTTTTCTTCATGTGTATTTTCCATCAGCTTGTTGAAGACCCCTCAGATGGCCCTCAGAGCAAAGGCCCTGCTCCTGCAGGTTATATTCCAGAGTAGGGAGAGATGGGAGGAAGGGGCAGATCATAAGTAGACTAATAAATGGCTAAAATAATCGCAGGTCCAAACAATGTTAGGGAGAAGGTAAGCAATGGAACAAGGTGGAGTTTAACAAGTGCTTTGGAATCCCTGGGGGTAGAAGGCTCGGCTTTGGCAAAACTTGGGTCATAACTTCTGCCTTGGGACTGGGGTGGGCTCCCATCGCCTGGGTGACCTCCCTGCAGTCAGGCCATTCCATGTTAAGATTCTACCTTTGTCTGGTTGGAGTTTAATTCTCCACATTAGGTTATCAGCACTCTCCCATGTTTTTCTTCCTGCACTGGTATCTGCAAAGTTGCAAGCTGCAATATCTTTCTAAAGACAAAAATGGAATGAGATTAGTAGCTAAATCCTTAATGACTGGATTTCGGGGCTGTGTAATTGATTTTTGATACGCTGCACTGTAGAAGTTGATTATAAGCAGTAATCGTGCCTTTTCTCTGATAAATCAGTTATGCGTTGGACTAAGTTTTCAAAATAAAAATAAGTGTGGTCCTAAAATAAAATGGCTATAGTCCCAACTCTGAATGTTAACAAAATCTTAATAATAGTACTTGTGGTAATTAGTAGAAGTTAGGCACGCAAGTCTTCTAACTGAATTTCTGCCAGGGTTAGATTTGCTGGCATCATGTTTATGCAAATCAAAACACAGCTTTATCTATCAACACCTCAACATTTAATTGTCTGGTGTTAGTTCCTGTAACAATAATCACATATCCATTTAGCTCTCTTAAATGAAAATCACTATGAGATTATAACAGGTTGAGTGGACTGAAAATGTAATTTGAAAATGAGGGAGAAAGCCTGGAATTTATTTGCATCTCATTTATTTTAATTCACTTCATAAACTGTGTCGTGAATGAAATAAAAGCAACTCCTGGAAATTTCAGGGGAGCACTTGGAAGAAGGAATTGAGGGGAGATCAGGTATGATGTGGATTAAGGGACTTTGGGACCTCAGAGGACTCGGGAGCCCACGGCAGGGACTTCCCAGTCCCTAACCAAAGGTATCTTTTGGCCCCCATGGGACTCACAGGCTGGCTCAGCCAGTGGTAACACAGACTTGGCATTGCTTTCCACACCAGCTCCACTGTTCAATGGAGCTGTGAAAGTTTTCTTTCCAGGCTCGCTCACTCTCTCTCCCTCTCTCTCTCTCTCTCTCTCCCTCTGCTTCTCCTGTCTCTGTGTAACTCCGACTTTCCAATAAATAAATATTTTTAAAAAAGGAAAGAAAGAAAGTTTTCATTCCAAAAGATGCTCACTGCGTGCCAAATATCCACCCAGCACCACAGGATGAGTAGACAGCAGAAAGATAAGGAATACTGAGTGGAGGGGGCAGTCAGTACAGCGACGTTATCTTGGAGGGCAGTAGTGCAAGGAAAGGGAAAGCTGAGTGTATCAGTGGGAAGAGGAATGCTAAGACCAGGTAGCAAACTGACCGTGAACTCTCAGGGGGTCTCATGGGAGTCAGGGGGGTCTGCATACACAACACTGGCGTGTTCTCGTGCCTGTGTCTTATGATCCTGCATGTGGCCTCCAAGGTCGTTGTAGGAGGGAAGGGAGTGTGGGTGCTTGAAGGGGCTTCATGAGCAAGCCCAGACACAGCATGCATCATCTCCACCCCCTCTGGCAAGAGCAGACTTGGGTACCCTCAGCTTTATGCCAAGAAGGTATAGAAAATGCCATACCTAAGATGTTCGTGATCACACAGCAGGGTCTCCGCCACGCTTATCGGTGTCAGGGTTGACAAGGGTGAGGAGAGGCTTCAGAGAGGAGTTAGAATCAGTTCTGAAGAGCAGTGGGAATTAGCCAGGGGAAGTAGGGGAAGAGGTGGTTGGTCAGAGAGTGTTTCCTGTGAAAAGCCTAGAGGCTGAAGGGGGAATGACATTTCAGGAAACCTTGAGTGTGGCCATAGACAAGGTAGATGTGTTACAGTGTGGGGTACAGACACAATGTGTCCCCGTTCAAGTCCCAGCTGCTGCATGTCTGATCCAGCTCCCTACTGTGCACCTGGGAAGGCAGCAGAAGATGACCCAAGTGCTGGGGCCCCTGCACCCACATGGGAAACCAGGGGAGATTCCAGGCTCCTGGCTCCCTAAGTTTCAGCTCCCAGCCATTGTAGCCATATAGGGAGTGAATCAGTGGATGAAAGATCTCTCCTCTCTCTCTCCCTTTCTCCCCCGCCCCCGTGTCTCTGTCACTCTGCCTTTCAAATAAATAAAATAAATCTGAAAAACAAAAAAACAGTGTGTTGTCCAGAGGCTGCACAAGGAAGGGGAAATTATACCAGACTGGCATTTATCCTGAGGACAACAGAGAGCTGTACCAGGGCTTAATTAGCAGAGTGATGTACTGGGATGTGCAGCAATAGAAAGAGCTCTCTGGCTTCCTCAAATGTGGAGGAAGACAGATTAGATGGGAGCAAGATAGGAGGAGAGGGACAGCAAGGAGGCTGCTGCATTAATCCAAACGAGAAACTAAATCGCGAGCAGGAAGACAGAGAGAAGCAGGAGGGAGAGAGCTGAGAGATATATCTGGCACACACAGTTAACAGGATCCGGCCACTGGCAGAGTGGCTCAGCCATGCTGACTTTTTGAGGGACCTTCCTCATGCTCATAGACTGAGAATGGGGGACCGTCCCCTCTTTGTGAGCTGCCCTGCTGGGCTGGGTAAGGGAGAGGGGCTGGGAGCTAAAACCTAAGACAGAAGTGGGAGGTTCCAGCAGCCTCATCTCTGTCCCCTGCCAGGTAGAAGACACTGAATGAACTTGAAAAGGCAACCGTTTAACCAGCATTAAATCGTCCTTGTTCCCCTCAAGGATAGCAGGGAATTTGGAGAAATTCTGTGTGGCAAGACTCAGGGCCTCATGCATTGTAGCAAGCAGCTGTCCACTCCCAGAGCCCTGTAAGCCTCTGGGAGTGTGGCCAGGGGAGGGATATAAAGGTCCAAAGCTCTGAGCAACCTTAAGGTTCAGCAGGATCCAAAGTCCAGGAGTAGCTGTCATGAGAAAACAGCACTCCATGAAATTGTAGCCTACATGATGCCCTTTTTTCCCAGAATCCTCCAATCAGAGACATTCCTTACTTAGCAGGTGGAAGTGTCAGCAGCTCTCCCTCATACACTGGGGGCAGGGAAGAGAGCTGATGGGTGGCCCAGGACCACATCCTTCCACCAAAAGCTTCACAACCCTTCATCCCTACTCAAACTCAGGTAGGGAAGATTTCCACTGTGCCACCCAAGGACTTCCCAAGGAGCCTCATTTGAGGAGTCCACTTCTCTTCCTCCTCCTTTTCCTCCTCCTCTCCCTCTCTCCCTCCCTCCCTCCCTTCTAGTCCTTTCTCTGGCCTTTCTGACCTTCCAGAAACATAGGGAGCAGTTGCATCGTAGCCTCTGTAAACTCTGCAAACACAGCGACTGTGTCAACCCTGGATCCCCAGTGATAAGCACCACGAGAAAGATGTGATTATGCCCTCTTGAGGCTCCTATTGGAAGTGCTTTGTGTAGAAATACTTCTGCCCCTAGGAAGGTGCCGGATTCACAGCACGTGTGCCTGGATGTGCCAGAATCTTCCTGCTGCTGAGGGTAGGAGGCACACAACAGCTGGCTCAATAGAAAGGGGTATGCATTGTCTCACCTCGTGGGCGACAAGAGAGGAGCGCTGCTGCAAGACTCCATGACGTCATAAGATTGACATCGCATTGACGTCATCAGGCT